CCTTTGCTGCTGCCATCCGTGCGCGAGGGCCGGGTCTTGGTTTGGAAGACCTGGTGGATTCCCTGGTCGAATATGAATCCGACTTGAAGGCGTTGGGCAAATCGCCGACTTGAAGGCGCTGGGCAAATCGCAGTCTGTTCCTACCGCCTTCTTCACCCATGGGCAGAGACAAGGCGGCGGCCAAGGCGGCGGCCATTCATCTTTCAGCCGATCCCAGCGCGGTTCTCCCTCTCAGCGGGCCTCCTCCCAACGGGCCGGGGGCTTCCAGGCCCATGATGATTCCTCTCGGGCCCAGGGCTTCCAGGCCCACGATCTATCTGCACCTGGGCTGCACTCGGCCCCCTCTCTTCACCAGCGCAAGCCACCTATCATTTGTCAATATTGTGAGCGTCCTGGACACTCTGTGCGACAATGTTTCCGCCTATTTCCCCAAGCTCGCCAGGCCTACCAAGCCCGTCAATCCCAAGCCCATCATACTGTCACCAATCGGCCCTCTCCTTCCGCTCCGTGGTTGCTTGACTCTGCAGCGTCCCATCATGTCACTCCTGATTTAGGAAATTTATCTCTCTATTCCGACTATACTGGGCCTGATGAGGTCCTTGTTGGCGACGGCTCAGGTTTGCAAATTACACACATTGGGTCTTCTATGCTCCAAAACTCTTCCTTACAATTACGTGATGTGTTGTGTGCTCCTGCTATCAAAAGAAAACTTATCTCTGTGGCCAAATTGTGTCGTACTAATCCCATTTCGGTGGAATTTTTTGCTGATTGTTTTGTGGTGAAGGATCTTCGCACGGGGGCGCCGCTGCTGACAGGAGCAAATAATGGGGATGTCTATGAGCTGCCTAGTGATGTGAACACTGTTCGTCTTGCCCTTGTCACCACCCGCACTTCCTCTACATCGTGGCATGCTCGTCTTGGTGACCCCTCCACTCAAACTCTCACCAGTCTCCTTCGCACTCATTCATTGCCAGTATCTTCCTCACTCGTCAGTAGTCATTGTCATTCCTGTCTTTCCAATAAGAGTCACAAACTTCCTTTTGCTGTTTCTTCTCTATCGAGCACTAGACCTTTTGATTTACTGTATACGGATGTTTGGGGGCCCGCTCCGGTCACCTCCATTGATGGTTTTCGTTATTATTTAATCATCGTTGATCATTTTTCCCGTTACACGTGGTACTATCCCCTAAAACGTAAATATGATGTTCTTGATGTGTTTATTGCTTTTCGCAAGATGATTGAAAATTATTTCTCGACTACCATTCGTCGTCTTTATTCCGATGGTGGTGGTGAGTTTCAGAAATTGTGCTCCACTCTGGCCGATCATGGCATCAGTCATCTTCTCACTCCACCCCATACCCCAGAGCACAATGGGCTTGCTGAACGCAAACATCGTCATCTTGTTGAAACGGGTATCACTTTGTTACATCATGCTCGATTACCTACCATTTTTTGGTCTTATGCTTTCTCCACAGCCATATATTTGATAAATCGTATGCCTTCCTCTGCATTACGTGGTCAAATTCCTTTCACTACTCTATTTAACATTCCTCCCAACTATCACAAACTTCGCATATTTGGCTGCCTGTGCTATCCTTGGCTACGTCCTTATTCCTCTAATAAATTGGATTCACGTTCTCGCCCTTGCTTGTTTGTTGGGTACTGTCCTCAACGAAGTGCCTATAAGTGCTTTGACCCTCAAACTCAGCGCATTTTTTTATCTCGCCATGTCCGTTTTGTTGAAACCTCGTTCCCTGGATACCTCTCTAATCCTCCTGCAGGTCACTCTTTGGTTGACACTTGGGTCAGCGACAGTGGGCCACACATCACCATCATTCCCTTTCGGGCTGCTCCACCAAGCTCCCCTACAGCTCCTGCCACAGCTGTCCCGGCCGCCCCCTGCGCAGAAGCTTCACCGCGGGCATCAGTATTGGGCCGCACCGAGGCCCCCATTGAGCCCACGACTGTGGCCTCCCCGTCTGGGCCCCTGCCCTCTGCTCTTCCGGGCCCGTCTGCCCCAGCTGGCCCACCAGCTCCCCCTGGGCCGCCCCAGTCCGCCCAGCCTCCTCCTGGCTCACCTTCCCCTACTGTTTCCAGGCCTGCTGCTCCCCCTCCTCTGGTCCGCACGCACAGGATGACCACCCGTGCCCAGGACGGTATCTACAGGCCTAAACGCCTCTTCCCTGCCCATTTGACGACTCAGACTCCGCCCATTGAGCCTCGTTCAGTAAAGGAGGCCATGCAATTCCCCGAATGGGACGATGCGCTTCGCCTCGAACATTCTGCCCTTCTCCGCAATCACACTTGGGATCTTGTTCCTCGGCAACCCCACTTCAATGTCCTTGGCAACAGATGGGTCTATCGCATCAAACATCATTCTGATGGCTCCATCAATCTATTCAAATGCCGTCTGGTTGCTAAAGGATTCCATCAACGCCCTGGAGTGGATTTTCACGACACCTACAGCCCAGTGGTCAAACCTGTCACGGTCCGTACTGTCTTCACCATTGCTCTCTCACAGAATTGGGCCATTAAACAGTTCGATGTCAACAATGCTTTCTTGCAAGGGCCTCTTGCTGATGAGGTATATATGGTCCAACCGCCTGGCTTTGTTGATCCTCAATTTCCTAATCATGTTTGTCGGCTGCGCCGAGCTATTTATGGTCTGCGTCAGGCACCACGGGCATGGTACACTGCTCTCAGCTCTTTCCTCCTGGAATTCGGCTTTCGCAAGACTCAGTCTGATGCTTCACTCTTCGTTTATCAACGATCGGGCGTTGTTCTCTACTTCCTGGTATATGTTGATGATCTTCTGCTCACCGGCAATGATGCACACACTCTATCTATCTTCCAACATGCTCTGGCCCAACAATTCTCTCTCAAGGAGCTTGGTGACGTTAACTACTTTCTGGGTATCGAGGTCATCCCTACCTCAACTGGGTACATCCTCTCTCAGCACAAGTACATGACTGACATTCTTACTCGATTTCATATGTTGGATGCGGCATCCATGCCTACACCTTTGGCCTCGACGGTCACTCTCTCCCTTCGTGATGATACTTCACCAACGGATGCAACTCGATATCGTCAGGTACTCGGAGCGCTTCAATATCTCGTCTATACACGCCCTGACATTGCCTACGCCGTCAACAAGTTGTCTCAATACATGCATTCTCCCTCCTCACATCACTGGCAATGTCTCAAGCGCCTTCTCCGCTACGTCTGTGGTACTATATCCTATGGCCTCTCCATTCGGCGCTCCACCCTTCCACTTCAAGTCACGGCCTTTGCTGACTCTGACTGGGCCGGCAATGTCGATGATCGTACATCTACATCAGCTTATCTGGTTTACTTGGGGTCCACCCTCATCTCCTGGCGTTCTCAAAAACAACGCACTGTTGCCCGCTCCAGTACTGAAGCGGAATATCGAGCCATTGCCCATGCCGCTGCTGAACTGGAGTGGGTCCAAAATCTGCTACACGAACTCCACCAACCGCTCCCTAAGCCGCCTATCCTCCTCTCTGACAACCTCGGTGCTACATGTTTTAGTGCCAATCCCGTCTTCCACTCTCGCATGAAGCATTTGGCTATCGACTTCCACTTTGTCCGCCAGCTCGTTCAAGATCGCCGCCTTCATGTTTGCTACATTCCTACTGCGCACCAGCTTGCTGATATGCTCACCAAGCCGTTACCGGCAGCTCGCTTCCTGCTTCTGAGGTCCAAGATTGGAGTCGTTGACACCTCCTCCATCTTGCGGGGGCGTATTAGAGAAAAAGAATAATAATTCTTTTCCCTTTTTCTGTTCCTATTCTTTAGCCCTCTCCTCCTGTACAATCTCTCCACTCTGTACACTACCCTTAGTTATCTCAACAAACTCACCTGTAACAATGTATAAGACAAACAGAATACAGAGAAGCAAATCACGTTTTTGATTGCCTCAAGATATTTTCTCTCCAAAATTCTCTCCTTCCTAACAGTTATAACATACGTCTGAAAGGAATGCACCCACGCAGCATCCATCCGCCGGACAGATTTACTAGTCACTAACCCCAAATTAAGGCATTGTTTAATCTTAATTGAGGCACAAAACAACACTACAAAACAGAAGGCTCGCAGTGGTATTTAATTTACCTTAGCCGCTACGTACTTTGAGGGCCATCTAGCTACTAGCTAGACATCCATCCTTTCTTAATACTTACAATTTTAATCAATTAAAATCCCCCCTAAATTATCGATCTTCCTTGCAATTATTGTAATCAATTAATATATTTTAAAAAGAAGCATATATCTATTGCCAAGGAAAACGTTCGTTCGCAAACACTGTCGATATTAACATGGGAAATCTCTGTCTCAGTGTACCTAACCTAACAATCATCCCAATGTTCCAGATTTGTCACTCCATCCAGGATAGGGACATGTACCTTTGTTGTATATAGAGTTCATAAATCATAATTAAGAAATTAATTAGTTCTACGTATGGCAGAGCCGGCGTCTTAAGAAAATATGGTTAATGCCTTTGAGACGGCACAAGTTCATCCACCAGTATAATACAATACCATCTTCGGTTCATGCATTAGGTTAGATTACTAATACCATATTTAGCGGGTAGATCCTCTTAATTACTTGCAAAATAAAGGACACAAATTAGATTGCACATTCACGTGAATTTATTAAGCTAGAAGAAATTATATGCACAGATTAACCAAGTATATATAACCCAAATGATATGGTACGTATGATGACCGAGTTGTTATTTTCGTAGTTTTGATTCAGATAATCTCCTCTTAGAAGAAAAAAAAATGTCGTTATGATTGATGGTCCGTTTGTGGTGCATGCAAAGATGCAAAGTTGCAAACCATCTTTATCCCGTATATCAACTAGTTAAAATATCGTTGTAATCATGATAATAGAAAAAAATAAATATGCAGGAGAATCACACATAATATAAAAATTTGTACTACACATATATACATAAATACTAACTAATACAATAAGTATTATACCCAAGGTATTAAACAACAACATGCAATGTATTCATCGGAAAAACACTAGCGGCGACGTAGTTTTAAAGGCGGATATGTTATATGTATAGGCGTATACAAAAATTACAGAAAAATATGCACGCCCGCCGTTCCCAGATTCCTAAGAAATAGACCCCAGAAGAAAACAAAATCATTACTAATAAAAAAACACTAATAAACAGATGAATTATTGATAATAATAATAACTAATAATAATTGAAAAACCCCTAGAATTTTCAGCTGAGGGTTAAGCAATCTATTCATAACTAATTCTGCCTAACGCTAGCTGATCAAACCAATCTTCTTTTCTTGTCCTCTTCCTCCCTCCAACATAGATCTATTCATCCCAAAAAGCGACACACTTTCAATTCATTTCTGATTCACACAACAATATATATACAAACGTGTTCATCCGCCAAACGTCACTCTACATTCCCAAAGCCTTTGCCGTGCCCGAGAAAAAGCCTTGACGTACGTCCTCACCAAATTCAAATCACCCGGAAAAAAAAGAAGTAGAAGAGATAGAAAAGAAGAAGAAGAAAAGGGGACAAAAGCTAGCTTCATCTCCTCAATCCAATTCTAATATAATCCCTCCCCCAAAGAGAAGGGTTAGCGGGAAAACTAACTTAAAAAAGAGGGCCAAAGCTCTCTCTATCTATGGCGTCTTCCTGCATAACCAACTGCATGAACGACGTGGCAGTCCACCTGCCGATCCGGCGGCTGGGCTCCATCCACTACGTGCGGCTCTCCGAGCAGCAGCAGCAGCCGCCGCCGCTGCTCGGAGGGTCCGGAAGGTTCGCGAGCTTCGAGGAGCAGTGCGGGCGGCCGGGCCACCCGAAAGTGGTGGACAGCGTGTCGTGCAGGCAGCTGTACCTGAGGAGCTACACTTTCTCGAGGAAGGAGAGCTTCAACGACAGGACGAAGCGTCGTATTGGGGAAGTCGCGGAGAGCGTGAAGAAGAGAGGGTTAGGGTTCCGGCTCCTGCCAGCTGGTCGCGGGGAAGGCCGGGAGAAGAAGAAAGGGAAGAAGAAGGGGGTGGTGGTGAGGAGAAGATCGACGGCGGTGATGTGTTTGGGGAAGGCGAGGAGGGTGACGTGTAGGGCTGTGATGAAGGTGGTGAGGCGACTCATGATGTCTTGCACTACCAGGGTCGATACGGCAGCGGATGGGGATTGATCGAATCGAGCCTGTCTTAGACATTATTGACGCCCGCCCCCCGGCTCAGTAGCTAATTAATCGCTGAATTCACAGGATAATTAATGGAGAGTATGTTTTTCTTTTTTTAATTATTATACAGGTGAATAAATTATATTATCGTGTATGCATGGGTGTTATATATACAGAATTAAAAGTTCGTGTTGTGAATGAAAAAAACTAGGGATTTTCTATTATAATTTCGTGTACTTTTTTCTCGATCTCTCTTTTGTTTTGCTGTTCATAATTTGAGTAGTAGAGGGCCTAAGGGGCGGGAAATATTTATAATATTGGCGCGTCTATTACATTATTATATTAGGATTATATACAATTTGGTTAGACATATGTATATAGGTTCCATTTTGATTTTGGTATGATTAATTATTGCTTAAGTTTACATCACCCGAAGTCCAACGGCACCGGTCGTCACAGGCACAGGCTTCTTCTTTTGCCGTCCGATCCCTTTCGCGCTGTGAAAGACTGAAAGCGATTAGAGCGGCATTTGGTTGGCGGGTGTTTAAAGAAGTGTCCTTTGGTGGCGTTTCAAACTAGTAATCCAAAGAGTGGTAACAAATCAGAGGATTAATTGCAAATCTGGTTGCTTTTTTTTTAAAGAAAAAAATAGCATCACATCAAGGTGGTATGATTTGTACGAGGGATAGCAAAAGATGCGATTTTGTAGATTTTGTAGTTTTGATTTTATATCCTATTATTTTTTTTCAAAAAAATAAATTTAAGAGAGTAATTGAATGGGAAAAAGAAACAGGATAACCATTATCATATAATCGAAAGATCTCTTTTCCATGAGATGATAACGCTAAAAAGGCTTCTTTTTTTCTTTTGGAGAAATGATAAAACTAATAAAAGTTGATAATGATTGTTGCCATTCATGGGCAAATTTCGTGGATGTCGTTGGTATGGGTTCATACGTATTTTTATACAGATTATACAATAAGAAGCGATGGGTATACCAACAAAGCATGCAACTGTAACTGTTGGGTATACCAATTGTTGTACTTTTATACAGATCCACTTTTGCAGTGGGTCAAAAAGGAGCGTAGAGAAGAGGAAAGGCTGCTAAATATATATTTGGCGTGGAGGTGGAGGGCAGTCACGCCCGTAAAGTAAAGCAAAAAGAAGAGAGTTGGGAGGGAGGGAGGCGCAACCGATGGAGACTATTTGCAGAATATGATCAGAAATTAGTAGTTGAGATCCTAGTCAGTCATCCACCTTTCTTTCATTTCCCGCCTGTGATTTACAAAGTTCAGTCACACTCGATCAGGGCTATAAGAAAATCAAGAAAATCCAATCAGGAGTTTGGCGTCACAGTTTCCATTGGGTAACATATGAACTATTCTTCTTACTAGAAAGAATACATAAATGGAGAATGGAATGGAATTATATAGGTACAACACTAGAGACTGTAGAGCAGAGACGTAACGTATTAATCCAGTCCCTGGAAAGGGAAAAAGCAATGGCTGCAATTTCATTTCTCCTGTACTTAATAACTAAAAATCGCCGTCCCTCCACCAAAAGAAATTTTAATAATTCAACGTAAAAGATAAAGTTTCATTGATTACGTTGTCTAATAGTTTGCACCGTTTTCTTGGATCTTTATGTTCGGCGGTTTGGGGGGTTTGATGCAAAGTAAACTCTGCATGTTTGCTGCGCTCAAGGAAAAAAATAAAATAAAAACCTAAACTCAACTAGTATATATTGCTGCGTCTGAATCCAATATTATCATATTCAGCTGCTTGCGTGTATTCGAGTTGATTAATCTTGATTTTCTAGAAATAATCAAAACCTTTACGACTAACAAAATATATATAATAATAATAAGGATAATGGTATTTTTTATCCAAATCATTTTCAGATTCTTTTATATTATCCAAACCTATTGAAATTCTATTAATTATCCAAATATTTCATAATGCATTAAAATATTAACCATTTTTGCGTTATCGTTAATAATTTTGTAACTCTTTTCTTAGTTAAAATATTAAAAATTTGGAATGTTGACCTTCATGAGTCTCTTCCAAGTAAGTATCATGTTGTCAGGTCAATATTACTAACAAAATTGCTAACTAAAAGTTAACATTTCACTAATTCTTAATATTTCGATAAGTTTGGATGATATAAAAAATATAAAAAAGTTTGGATAAAAAATAAAAAATAAATATTACCTTAATAATAATAATACTTGAAGATTGTAAACATGACTAATTTCGAGGAAGACAAAATAAGGGATTTTATATATTTTGGTGACAAGAGTTCCAATATGAAAGCAGGAAATTCGTATCCCCATCAATGACATACGGTGGAACCCATGGAGAAGATTAAAACTATATATGTAGTGTTATAAAACTAATTGAAAATGTAAAAACTATAAGAGAATATTAGAGAGGGAAAGACACCAGAGAAGTGAGGGGATAGTTTTTCTTGTTCATACTCTCTTTGTGATATAATAGTGTGCTTTATTTATAGGCACCATTTGGTAACCACTACATCCTTACATCAATGCATATGAATTAGAGATAATAATAATATAGGAATGGGAATTACATGTAACTCCCAAGTGAGCATCTAATGTGGTAGGCCATTAGTCATCCATATATAAATATTTACATAATACTCCCCCTTGGATGACCACTAGATTGCATTATTACGCTATCTCATGCTGCCTCATTAAAAACCTTACCAGGAAAACCCAGTGGGAAAACCATGGTTAAGGGAAAAAGAGTGCAGCGCGTATATGCTCCCCCTCATGACCACATCAGCTCAGGTCTTTGAGTCGTCGAACTCCAATTTCACGAACAAGCTTTACAAAGATTGTCGTCGGGAGTGACTTGGTGAATAAATCTGCTAGATTCTCACTTGAACGAACTTTTTGAACAATTATTTCACCACTCTTTTGAAGATCATGAGTGAAAAAGAACTTGGATGGAATATGTTTTGTTCTATCTCCTTTAATATATCCTTCCTTTAATTGAGCAATGCATGCTGCATTATCTTCATACATGATCGTCGGGATCATTTTTCCTAGAGATAGTCCACACGATTCTCTGATGTGTTGAATTATAGATCTTAACCAAACACATTCACGACTTGCCTCGTGAATTGCTAGGATTTCAGCATGATTGGATGATGTGGCTGTTATAGTTTGTTTTGTGGATCGCCACGAAATAGCTGTACCACCACAAGTGAACAAATATCCTGTCTGAGATCTACCATTGTGGGGATCTGAGAGATATCCTGCATCTGCATATCCCACTAAATCCATCTTCAATGCACTCGAATAGAACAAGCCCATATCCGTCGTTCCTCGAAGGTAACGAAGTAAATGTTTAACTCCATTCCAATGTCTTTTAGTGGGAGAAGAGCTATATCTTGCCAATATATTCACAGCAAACGATATATCGGGTAGTGTGTGACTGGCTAGATACATTAATGCTCCTATTGCACTAAGATATGACACTTTAGGGCCAAGCAGATCTTCATCACTTTCTCGAGGTCTAAATGGATCTCTTTTCACATCAAGTGATCTTACAACCATTGGATTACTCAACGGTGTGATTTGTCCATATAAAATCGCTTAAGCACCTTTTCAACATATCCTTCTTGATGCACAAAAATACCATCCTTCAAATGTTCAATATGTAATCCAAGACAAAACTTTGTTCTTCCTAAATCTTTCCTTTCAAACTCTTTCTTCAAGCAATCAACTGCTTTTGGAAGCTCTTCGGGAGTTCCAATGATGTTTATGTCATCAACATAAACTGATATTATAACAAACTCACTACGCGATCTCTTTAGAAAAACACATGGACAAATAGGGTCACTCTTGTATCCTTCTTTCATCAAATATTCACTGAGACGATTGTCCCACATTCGTCCAGATTGTTTCAATCCATACAAGGATTTGTTCAATTTGATAGAAAAATTTTCTCGAGAATGTGTTTTGTTTGCTTCTGGCAAAGTGAATCCTTCAGGGAGTTTCATATATATATATATATATATATATATATATATATATATATATATATATATATATATATATATCATTCTCAAGTGATCCATACAAATAGGCTGTCACAACATCCATTAGACGCAGATCTAGTCCTTCTCGAACTGCTAGACTAATCAAGTATCGAAAAGTAGTTGCATCCACTACAGGGGAGTATGTCTCCTCATAATCAATGTCGGGTCTCTGTGAGAATCCTTGTGCGACAAGACGTGCTTTATATCTCACGACTTCACCCTTTTCATTTCTTTTCCGCACAAAAACCCATTTGTATCCCACTACCTTTACGTTTTCTGGTGTAAGGACTACCGGTCCAAAAACCTTTCGCTTTGAAAGCGAGTTTGATTCTGCCTCAATGGCCTCTTTCCACTTTGGCCAATCATCTCTTGACTTGCATTCATCAATAGATCTTGGTTCATGATCCTCATTTTCATTCATCACACTCAACGCTGCAGCGTAAGCAAAAACATCGTCGACGATTATTTTACTTCGGTTCCAACATTTTCCATCCAAGACATAATTGATTGAGATCTCTTCATTATCAAAACTTTCAGGTACCTGATGTTCTTCGGGAACTACAATCTTAGTTATGCTTGGGGACTCTTCTTGACCTTTCATATCCTCGATTTGACCATCTTGATTCATAGCTCCTTTTCTTTTTCGAGGATTTTTATCCTTGGAACCTACTGGTCTACCACGCTTCATTCGTGGTTTAGATTCATTTGCAATTTCAGATTGTCCAACAGGGACATCAACTTTCACTAGAGCATTTACAACTGGTATGTGTGACTTTGTCACTCTCTTCTGGTCAGTAAAAGAATCCAGCAGTTGGTTTGCTAAACCTTGTAAATGAATTATCTTTTGAACTTCCAGTTCACATTGTCTAGTACGAGGATCAAGGTGAGATAATGATAATTCATTCCAACAAATATCTTTTCCCAGCTGTTTGCTCTCACCCCTAATGTTGGAAAAACTGATTCGTCAAAATGACAATCAGCAAAACGAGCAGTGAATAAATCTCCCGTCAAGGGTTCTAAGTATTTTATGATTGACGGGGACTCATATCCAACATAAATTACCAACCTCCTTTGAGGACCCATCTTAACACGCTGTGGTGGAGCAATAGGGATGTAGACGACACACCCAAATATTTTTAGATGGGAAATATTAGGTTCCTTACCAAAAACCATTTGCAAGGGGGAAATTTCATGATAACTTGTTGGCCTTATGCGAATTAATGTTGCCGCATGCAATATAGCATGTCCCCAACAAGAAATTGACAAGATTGTTTTCATAAGCAATGGTCTTGCAATAAGTTGCAAACGCTTAATAAATGATTCTGCAAGGCCATTTTGTGTATGAACATGTGCTACAGGATGTTCAACAACAATCCCAGTGGACATACAATAGTCATTGAAAGTTTGTGAAGTAAATTCACCAGCACTATCTAGACGTATTTTCTTGATTGGAAAATCAGGAAAATGTGCTCGTAGTCGTATCAATTGGGCAAGTAATCTAGCAAACGCCAGGTTGCGAGTTGATAGTAAGCACACATGTGACCATCTAGTTGATGCATCAACTAAAACCATAAAATATCTAAATGGTCCACATGGTGGGTGAATTGGCCCGTATATATCACCCTGTATATGTTCTAAAAATGTGAGAGATTCACTCCTTACTTTCACAGGTGATGGCCGTATAATCAACTTGCCACGAGAACATGCAACACATGGTACATCTTTAAACTGATAAATTTTGTGACCTTTCAATGGATGTCCACATGTATTGGCAATGATTTTTCGCATCATAATCAATCCGGGATGGCCTAACCGGTCATGCCAAACTATAAAATTATTAAGATTTGTAAACTTCTGGTTTACCACTGTAGGTGTTTCAATTGTACTAATAAACGTGTAGTATAACCCAGAAGAAATAGCAGGCAATTTCTCCAATATGTATTTTTTATCGGAGACCATATTTGTTATCATAATATACTCTTTACTCTCTTCTTCCTTTGTCTCAATATGATATCCATTTCGGCGAATATCTTTGTAACTCAATAAATTTCTTTGAGACTTTGAAGAGTATAAGGCTTCATTGATATATAACTTGGTTCCTTCTAGTAACAATACACTAGCTCTTCCGGAGCTTTCAATTAAATTTGTACTTTCCGATATAGTACTAACATTTGCTTTTCGCATTTCAAGATGAGAAAAATATTTCTTATCCTTCAAGATTGTATGTGTCGATGCACTATCAATAAGACACACATCATGGTTTTTGATCTTGGTGCCAAGCATGGGAATATTCATTCTTCGCAAAGATAGAAAGTAAATCAATATAAGAAATTATCTCTAAATAAATATAAAAATAATGACATGATTATAATAGATGAAATTAAACCACATAAGGATTATAAAGAGAAATTATATTAAACTGACACATTAATAGGAAAAACACACTCAAGGAAAACGACAAAGAAAGGGAAATTTCAAATGTGAAACCTAAACTTTTCACGTGTGAACAAAACGACAACGAAATAGAAATTTCAAATGGAAATGATAAGTTTTTCACTTGCGAACATTCCCATCACCAATCAGGTGATCTATTTTTCCTTCAGGGTGGGCAAAGAAGTCGGACACATCTAGATGAGTAGCATCATTATAGTCTTTTCCTGAATCATCTTCCTCAAAAATACAATTGGTTTCTATCTTCTTCCCTTTCAATGATTCTTGGTAGAGGTTAACCAAGTGTTTTGGCGTACGACAGGTACGAGACCAATGACCTTTTCCACCACAACAGTAACACACATTTTCGACGTGTTTGTTACCATGAACACTTTGTTCCTTGCTTCTTCTACCATCATTTTTTCCACTTCTGGGGAAAAATGAGCTTTTGGAACTTTCACCACGGCCAAGATCTCGGCCACGGCCTCGAGCATGAGCATGACCACGCCCACATCCTCGTCCATGTCAACGTCCATGTATTTTCCCATAAGGATATTGGGTGAACGTCGCCGCATTCGCTTCTGGGAATGGGGCGGCACCAGTAGGACGAGATTGGTGATTTTTCATTAGGAACACATTATTTTGTTCAGCAACAAGGAGACAAGAAATCAGCTCAGAATATTTCTTGAAACCTTTCTCACGGTATTGCTGCTGCAGGAGCACATTGGATGCATGAAAAGTGGAGAATATTTTTTCCAACATATCTTCATCAGTAATATTTTCTCCACATAACAGTAGTTGTGAGGTTATTTTGAATAGCTCCGAATTATAATCACTCACAGATTTAAAATCTTGTAACCTCAAATGCATCCAATCATAACGAGCCTTATGAAGAATCACAGTTTTTTGGTGGTCATACCGCTCCTTCAAATTAGTCCACATAATAAGTGGATCTTTGACCGTAAGATACTCATTCTTCAATCCCTCATGGAGGTGACGTCGAAGAAAGATCATTGCTTTAGCTTTGTCTTGATCTGATGCTTCATTGCCCTCTTTGATCGTGTCTCCAAGACCGTTGGCAGCTAAATGAATTTCAGCATCTAGCACCCATGATAGGTAATTCTTTCCAGTGACATCAAGAGCCACAAACTCAAGTTTTGAAAGATTCGACATACTATCATAAAAATATACACAAATTAAAGTCAAAATTCAATAAATAAATATAGATTACTATCAAGACAAACGACTTATGTGACCCATGATATATCAATTTGATATTTTTACAAATATATAAATAAATTCGAATTTCAAAATAAAAAAAATTATAAAGGCAAAATATATTGAGATTTTTATACTACTACTACGAAGTATAAATGATCATGACTTGCTAAAAAAATTATTAAGAAGGAAATTATACCTTTGCATTCTCAAACAAAGATTTCATGTGTTGATTAATAAAGGAAATTATGTAAATTGAAATAGGACAATAAAATAAAAAATTTGGGAGAATCGACATACCTTGAGCAGAACAATTGTGGATTTAACTTTTTCAAAAGAAAGAGTCTCGTGCTAATAACGTGTTATAAAACTAATTGAAAATGTAAACAACTACAGGAGAATATTAGAGAGGGAAAGATACAAGAGAAGTTAGGGGAATAGTTCTTATTATTCATACTCCCTTTGTGATACAATAGTGTGCTCTATTTATAGGCACCCTTTGGTAACCACTACATCCTTACATCAATGCATATGAATTAGAAATAATAATATAGGAATGGGAGTTACATGTAACTCCCAAGTGAGCATCTAATGTGGTAGGTTATTGGTCATCCATATATAAATATTTACATAATAATAATGGTTTTGTCCTGATGATGTATCACTTTATTGATTTCAATTTCCTTAGATTAACTGGCACGACCACGAGTGTTTTGAATTACTTGCCACTAAATTTGGGCTAATAACATATCAAGATGACTAAAATCTAACACCATAGCGTTTTTATATAGGACTTTTCATTATAGTTTGGGTGCAACGTTGGAATTGTCACATCAAGACACGTTCAATATTGTTTTGTGTCAATATCGCATTGAGGGTTAATTCCCTAAATATTGTTTTTTTTAAATTTATCATGAATATAGTGGTTTAAAAACTATTTACAAGAATATTGTGTTTTTTGGTATATTTAAAGCGCTAAAGCCTTAGACTCAGGCGCGGCTGCTAGGTGCTGTTTTTTCAATAAAATACAGCAGTGTAGCACGAGACTGGGGCATTTGGCCTTTAAAAAAAATGAAAGCGGCGGCACCCCAGACTGGGGCATTGTCGCTGCCTTTTTCTTCCACTCCAGCACCACCCATCACCATATATACTGCACCTTTCCTTCGGTTCTTCACAACCAAAAAACTAAAAGAAGTTCCGAAAGAAGCTTTGGTGTTGATGTCTGGTTGCAGGGAAGATGGCTAATAATAGGTAAGAGACGTATTTATTTTTTTAATGTATTCTTCATAATGATTTTGTCTAGTTAGTAATTAGTGAGTTTGTTTTTTATGTAGTGGTTTTAGAAGATTTGAACTAGCTGTTCGGAGGAAATCAGAGAAAGTAGAGGACAATTTGGGTGTCCATTTTGTTGGTGGTGTAAGTTTTCAGATGACTATTCCATCTAGGGTGAACTATCAGAAACTTTGTGATAATCTAATTCGGAGAATACGACGTAGAGACGAAACAGTACAAGATAGTGTTGTGATTACAGGTTTCACTTACTGTCTTCCAGAATGGCAGAATGGTGTTTTATTTCATTATGAAATGCCTATTGTCGATGATGAAAGCTTAAATGTGCTTTGGAATTTTATGGGACAAAATCCTTATTGTTTGGGTGCGGAGATACATGCTGAGCTCAGTGAGGATCGGGGTGGAGAGGAAGAAGATGACACATGGAGCATGCCATCCGATCATGACTATGATGGGTGATGACGGAGAGGAGGAAGACGAAGATGATGATGATGATGATGATGAGGAGGAGGACGACGACGGGGTAGGAAGGAGAACAACCTAATTATCCTCCATATTTTTACTTGCAGGGTAATGAAGAGGACGAGGAATTATCATATGCTGATTCATATAGCGTAATTCCAGGGCCTATTGTTGGTGGTTTTGATGGAGAATTCTACAAGGGGCAAATATTTCACCCGAAACAAGTTGCACAGGTGGCGATTAAACACTATGCACTACAACGCAACTTTCAGTATAACGTGGTGGAGTCGTCACCTTCAATCTGGAAGATCAGATGTTTGATGCACAAGGAGGAAAAATCCTTGGATGTTGCGGTTTGGATGTCGAGATGTGGGAGGCGATTGGAGCGTGAGAAAGGCCGAGTTGGTGCATACTTGTAGCAGTACGACTCAACCGACGGATCATCGCCATCTTGATGTCGACGTTATATCTGAGTCCGTGAAACACTTGGTACGTGCTCAACCAAATTTGAGTGTTCTAACTCTGCAGGCCGAGTTGAAAGATAATTTAATATGCAAGTTACTTACAAGAAGGCTTGGTATGAGAAACAAAGAGCATTGGAGAAGTTGCATGGAAATTGGGAAGAATCCTACGATTTTTTGCAAACATTCTTGCGGGTGGTTAAGAGAAAAATGCCAACATCGGTGATTGATTGGGTAAGAGTTCCTTCGACTCAACCAGGTCATTCGATATTTCAGCGAGTATTTTGGGCTTATGGACCTTGTATAGATGGATTCAAGAATTTTCCAGGCGTCATGGTTGTTGATGGAACATTTCTTACTGGGAAGTATAAAAGAGTGCTACTCATGGCGAGCTCATTTGATGGCCGGAAGAAGATTTTTCCAATTGCATTTGCCATAATGGAGAGTGAGAATACTGATAGTTGGCCATGGTTCATAAGTCACGTTTAGGGTTTGACTGATCGAAATGATGTCTGCATCATCTCAGATAGACATGCAGGACTCTATGAAGCCATGAATAACATCGGAAGAGGTTGGGAGTGGAGGTGGTGCATGCGACACTATGCAAGCAATTTGCAAAGGAAGACTAAAAGCAAAATTATGTATAAGCAACTATTTCGAATCGGTAAGCCTTCTTCATTTAATTTTGTTATTTATTTTCATGTAATTTTGTCATGAATTTATCTAACCTGTGTGGTTGTTTATTTTGTTAGACGGAGAAAAACGCTTGGAGAATTTCGATCGTCAAGTTGAGCAATTTAAGAAGGTGGCCACTGATAGAAATATTTCATGTGATAACTGGGCCGACCAACATCAAATTCGTTGGAGTTTAGCACATGATAACTACAATGGTGGGCGTCGTTGGTCTATCCTCACATCCAACATGGCAGAAAGCATCAATGGTGTTTTCAAAGGTATTCGTGCACTTCCTATAGCTTCTCTTGTGCAACATACCTATTGGCGATTGGTGGAGAAATTCGATAAGATGAGGTTGGAGACGGGAGCATAAATTAGAAGTGGTGCACAACAATATTCCACCAAGTGCGAGGAGCTGATGAAGTCGTGGAGACAAAAGGTAGTTGGACATTCCATGTCAGTGATGGATCGATGTCAAGGCATCTATGTAGTTCAGACTCCTCCCAACAATTCAACATGACGGGGTCAAACACACTCACAGTGCACTTTGACGACCCCAACCGGACGGGATTTTGCACTAGTGGGAAATTTCAAGGAAATAAAATTCCTTGCTCTCATGCCATTGCAGCTTGCAACCGAATGGGGGCTAATCCATATAGGTTTGTAAATGACGTCTACAAGCTTCCAACAGTGCTGGCTTGTTATGGGACAAGTTTCACTCATCTTGGTGAACCTAAGGGTTGGAAGAAGCATAATGACCCTAATCTGGACATGATTAGAAAGACGGGGAGGCCAAGATCAACACGAATTCACAACAAGATGGATTGGCCTAGGGAGGGTTCATCACAGCAAGTGTGTAGCAAATGTAACCAAGCGGGACATAATGCATCAACCTGTGGGGGCCAAGCAAGTGGGAGTGGGAACAACCGAAGAGGGAGTGGTGGCCAACGAAGTGCGAGAGGTGGTAGAAGAGGAAGTAGAGGGAATAGACGTGACTGAGAAGTTTGTTCGAATGTAGCAGTTGTTGTTTTTCTTTCGATTTACCTTGCAGAAGTTGTTGTTGTTTGAAGTTGTTGTTTGGACTTTTATGAACTGAACTAGTTGTTGATGTTTGTTGGTTTTATATTTAAAGTTTCCATTTAGACAATAACACTAACATGAATTAGTCCGCGTGAAATTAAAAATAGTCCCAAATAAGTACATAATAATAAATAGTCTCAAAGAAGTACATAATAATAATACATAGTCACAAAGAACATAATAATAATAATAATAATAATAAATATCTCAAAGAGTTACATACATACACTAACGCCCCCCCCCTCCCCCCCCACGACCACCACGCCAACCACCACGACGACCACCGTGCTCTGCCACTAGATGGCCGCCAGTACCACACCTCGCTGGCCTCCTGTCTCGTGGAGGCAACTGATCATCTCTCTCCGCCCCATCATCCTGATCCTATTTGACGAACATATCATCCACCTGAGACTGAACCTGCTCATCTGGTGCACCCTCTCGTTGCTGCTGCTCATATGCCCACTAAGATGTATGGAAGGCCGCCTGAGACTGAACCTGCTCACCTAGACGCTCCCACTCATCGACGTCCAAATGTGGCACATCTGCACTACCTGATCCCATTTGTCCGCCTCCCATCGTATCATGCTGCGGTGTGTGAAAGCTATCCTCCTGTGGCTGTAATTGAGGGCTAGAACTGGTGCCTACCTGAAATTCAGTAAAAGCGCCCGACTGAAACGGTGGCTGAGAAGGCTGGTGGAAGGTGAAGGTCGAAGTAGGTCTGACTGGCTGACGATCTGAGTACCTCACTCCTCGAGGTACGTCACGCTGCTCACGTCGCTGTCTCCTCCTTCTAGTCTCCTCTGTGAACTGTGGCAGTGGCACGCCCCAGTCCGATGGCTGAGCCCTACGCTCTGGCCAGATGGCTAAGCTGCGCTCATCAGGGTAGCGCTGTATCGGCTCTGTATCAGGATGTCGATGATCACTAAAACCTAAAGCTGTAACCCCTGCCGCCAACTGGTCAGCATACTCCGCCATCTGGTCATAGGACATCCCTCCTACTCTCATCCCATCACGTAAACCCTGCTCAACGGACTCCATGCAGTCGTACTGCAAATTAAATGTAAAATATCAGAAATTCTACACATCTAAAAACAATTAAAACGCAAATTTTGATTAATAAAAAACTCACCGCTGCGTTCAGTGCAGCAACTCTCTGTGTGCCTGAACGTCTAGTGACATCTCTATACCACTCTCGATGCTCCGAGTGGTAAGCTAAAGGTATGTCACTGTAGCTCGTCCGCGCGATGAACTCATGTTGACGGTTCCACAACTCAATCGACTCGCTGGCTGCCTGTATGAATTGCTGGCCACGTGATGGCCCATGCTGTCCCTGACGAACAAAAAACCTAATCTCAGCCGCGGAATGTGGAGGATGAGGCCAGTCCTGAATCATCCCAAACAATCCGAGCACGCGATCTGGATGATGCCACATCTGCGATGAGAAGCAGATCAGCGGAACTACTGCTCGAAACGTGTCGGACTGGATCACAGTACCGCTGTAGTCCTGACCTCTATGAAAGTACGGACGCCACTGCACACAAGGATTGGTCACATAATTACTCCTAAATCTATAACAAATCAATTAAAACTATTCTATAAAATGAAATGTTATATACTAACCACGAATGTCGTGCACTCGTCAAACCACAGCTTGTATAGGTAGAACTGATCTCCATGCTTACGGGTGTGGGCCGGAAGCCATCGAAGGCCACGTGGCACTGCGTCCTGAGTAATCTGCGCACCCGTCTCCGCATGTAGTAGTGATGTATGAGGAAACCGCTCCCACGTCCAGATCATCAGCAAGGCGGACCATCCACCAAAGTCACCATCCAGTGAAGAAGATGCCGTCATCTGCAGCGCCGATCTACCCATCTCACGGTACAAGTAGGATAGCATAGCTGCTCCCCAAGCAAACCTCCCCGCTCTGCGCCAATCCTCCACCAAAAGTAGGTATTGCAGGTGAACTGAACCTCCAGAACGATCGGAGAACAAGACACCTCCCATCAGAGACAGCGCATACGCTCTTGCAAACTGCTCTGTCGTCTGGGGTGATGCAGAAAGCGGTAGCTCATCGAAAGTATCCCTGAGCCAAGCAATCCGGATGACGCCGCCACCAAGATCAGTAGGATCCCGTCCTAACAATCGAAGACACATAGCCGACCAGTCCTCGTCTGGTATGTCTACTACGACGGCATCACCGTCGATCGCTAGACCGGTCAGTGTCGCAACGTCCTCTAGGGTGATCGTCACCTCACCGAACGGCATGTGGAAGGTCGATGTCTCGGGTCGCCAATGCTCTACGAGCGCAGTAATCAAACCCGGATCACCGGTAAGAGGGGCTAGTGGGAGAACACTAGACAAGCCCGCATCGGCGAGATACGACAGGTAAAGTGGATGGTATCGTACTAAATTGCCCATATGACGAATGTGGTAAGATCGATCACCAACCTATAATTAATGCATAAAACTTATATTAATTCAATTCACCTAATATTTGTATTTATATATCTAAACTAAACTTATTCTAAATACTACTCGTAATTTAATTTAATTCTATTCGTAATTTAATTTAATTTAATTCTATTCTATTATTCATGTAATAAAAAACTATAGAAATAGTTTGAAAACTTACCTCGTTTGCCCAAACTGCGTCAATACGATGGTGACCATGCCCCCAAAGAAGTTCCGGATCCACCGGAGCTGTATCGATTGTCGCAGGTGGTGGTCTCATCGAACAAGGATCCATAAACCTAGGAATTGGAAAAAAATTAGAAATTTTTTTTTTGCCGCCGACAGGAATCCGGCCACCGCCACACACACTTACTCCTGTAGCGTTCGCCACCGCCACGATGCCCTCGCCGCCCTCTGCCTCGTCCTCCGTCGGGCGCCTGCTGCTCGTCGTCGTCGGACATGGCGGGGAGAAGTGGATCTGCAACAGCGCTCCGGGTTTGGCACCTTCGTCGGGCTTTGAGCGCGGCCGCCTGAGACAGAGGCGGTGCCCTCTTCTTCTCGGCGTCGTCGCTCTTTCCTTTGGCGTCGGCGCTGGGTTGGAGGAGGTGAAGGAGGGAGGGTCAGGGGGAGTGTGGTTCTGGCGAGAGGGAGTGGGGCGAGGAAGGGGATAAGAAAGAAAAGGAAGCTAGCGACGGCGCCTGAGACTCGGGCGCCGTCGCTGCTTTCCTCCTTCAAAACTCAATATTCTGAGTCTCGGGCGCCGTCGCTGCTTTCCCCCCTTCAAAACACAATATTCTTGTAAATAGTTTTTAAACCACTATATTCGTGGTAAATTTTAAAAAAGCAATATTTAGGGAATTAACCCCCGCATTGACGTAGTACATTTACTTGAACGAAATGGGCATATTGATTTTCAGAAATTTGGGAAATGGTGCAGATTGGTTGATTTATAGACGGTTGGTTGTTTACATGATTGTAATGTACAAAAGCTAACTGAACGAAGTAAGGCATGGGTAGAATGGGGTCTGTGATAGCGTATGCGAATGGTATTTAGGAAAGCGTAACTTCGCGTACGCTTAGGCGCGTCTAGGCAGCCACAAAACGCTTTGTCTAGGCCCTATGAAGACTATCAGGCATTGTCTAATTGGATTTAGACACGATTAAACTGGAGTAAGGCGTTATTAATCAAAGGCGATGCACACTTAACTTAAGCAAGTTGGCGGATCATATCCTATCTTTCCAAAACGACACAATCTCCAACTTCCCTATATTTAATGCCTCTTTCCTCAATTTGGAATTGCAAGTCTAGGTCAAAGAGCCAAAGACTCGTAACTTGGGAATCGCAACGGCTTCTCATTGCCGCACCATTCTTTTGCCATCTACATGATTTTCGTTGTTGCCTACTACAATGCATCACAACCCATGAACTTCGTCTTTCTTCTCCAAATTTGGGTCGCCCCGACCCTCTGTCCTGCTCTTCACCATCGTCGAACGCAAAACAACCACAATCCATGACTTCTTCTTTTCTTATCATGCTCTGGTCGACCCGACTCTTTGTCCTACTCTTCACCATGATTGACTGCAGAGAAGCCACAATCCATGTTTTTAGTATTGGTAGATTACTATTTTGGGAGCCTTCTTTTGTAGTATTCTTCTTTTGTTATCCATAGAATAAAACTACTTATTCATAGGCATGAAAACAAACCAACCTTAAAACGTTCAGATCTAAACATATGAACTTTGGAGCTTTTAGTATACAATAATTCTTTTGTGGCAAGAATTTGTTATGTTTTGAATGAACCAATACAAATACTCAAATCTCACTCTTAAGTCTGAACTCATATAATCCAATTCGTGTCTCCCAATCTCAGGAGTTTGAAAAAATTAGATGGCAATTTCATAAATAATATTAACTAAATCAATTTAATATCGAAAATTAAAAAAAAAACACAATATGTTGGAAGAGAAGGAACATGTCAGTTCTGCAGCAGTACCTGTTCTGCACAGCAATCCGAATCCAATCAGGATTGACTGGAGTCAACAACACAGGGACGATGGACTAAAATGGAAGCGAACACAAGTTTGGAACTAGGCCAGCACTTCACCATGCGGCTTCGTTTTACCATTTTTATTCTTTATTCTGTTTTATACAAATTCGTTATGTAATAACGAATCCCATGAAGCCACGTGTCTTAAGCGGGTTAATGGGATTCAAATTCTGGTTAATCACTGTTGATTAGTCATTTGGTTCTGCTATATAAATCAAAAACCCTAAAGAGATGAGGTAGCAATTTTGTTGCTCTCATCCACCCAAATCTAGTCTCTCTTCCTTTTTCATATGGTATCAGAGCTATACACTGCCATTTCGACAGCTTCTTCCTCATTCTGAGCAGCAGCAGAAGTAAATCATGTCGCAGAACCAGGAAACGCCACCACATTCAGGCGTCAACTCAAGTAGCTCAACCTCTAGTGGAGGAACGGCAAATGCCTCATCAGAGTTCATCTTCGGTAACCCCTTTTACCAAAACCCTAATGAGAATCTTTCTCAGTCGATTGTTTCAGAAGTGTTGGATGGAAGTAATTATCAGATGTGGTCTAGATCTATACGAATAGCACTCAAAACCAAGTACAAACTTGGGTTTATTGATGGGTCAGTGCCAATACCAGATATGGCAATAGATCCTATGGATACAGAGTTTGGGATGCGTGTAATACTGTTGTTCTTTGTTGGATTATGAATTCTCTGCACAAAGATATCAAGAGAAGTGTGCAGAATCATGAGATTTCTAAGTTTTTGTGGGAAGAGTTAAGAAATTGTTTTGGATAGGCTAATGCTATCAAACTGACTAATTTGGAAGACGAGATTCATTCTTGTAAGCAAGGGAATATGACTATTACTCAGTATTATACAATAATGAAAGGATACTGGGAAGAGTATACAAAGTTTAATCCAATTGTTCCTTGCAATTCTGCTCCTGGACAAGGTCTGCTATGTCCAGCTGTTGAAGCTTTCAAGGCAAAACAAGAGACTGATTATCTGGTTAGGTTTCTCAAGGGAGTTGCACCACCCTTTGATGTTGTCAAAACCATGCTCATGATGAAGCCACTGCCTACAGTTGTGGTTGCTTATGGAGATCTGTTGCAACATGAGCAGAAGCTCAAGGCTGATAAAGGAAAGGGAGGAGCATCTCAATCTGTTGCCCTGGCTGCCTATGGGAATCAATCCAATCAGAGGTCTAACTCACAAGGAATGAATCAAACTCAGAATCAGGCACCACATAACAGGCAAGGACAAAGGCCTTACAATGTAGAGACTGGAGAAACTGGCTTGTTTTGAAGATACTGTAAGATGACAAATCATAATATAAGTGACTGCTGGAGGCTAAAAAGGAAGAATCAGGGGCAATCTGGAAACAATGCTCGTTTTGCTGGAGCAGTGAATGATGGGGAAGATGTTTATCAAGAGTCACAGACAAATACAAACTCAGCAAACAGTAACCAATCTTCAAGTGGAAATGTGTTTAATATGCAACTCACTAGTGAAGAGATGAACAGGCTGAGGTTTTTGCTTCAAGTTGTCCCAAATTCACCTTCTCCCTCACCATCACCTCCTCATTCACCAAGAATTTGTCATGCAGCCTTCTCAACCTCACAACAACTGCCACAATTTCCAAATTCAGCTGGTAAATTCATCTTATCATCATATATTCACTGCCATTCTGCCACCCTTATTAATTCATGGATCTTGGACATTGGAGCTTCAGATCATATAGTGTGTTCTATATAACTGTTCACTAGCTGTCAACCAATTCATGATGTGTATGTTTTTCTACCAAATAGTACCAAGGTCCTGGTCACTCACATAGGATTAGTAAAATTGCCCACAGGAATGCCCTTACACAATGTCCTCTTGATACCTAGTTTCACTTTTAACCTTATGTCAGTTAGCAAATTGACACATGACCTTCCCATCTCACTAAATTTTCAATTTGATTCTTGCCTTATCCAGGACCTAGTAACCTCCAAGATGATTGGCTTGGTAAGACAAAGTAGAGGACTCTATTAGTTAGTACACAATCCAGAAAGTCTTTCCAGTCCATCAGTTGCATCAGTTTACAATTTTGAACCACAGAAGATTAACCTTTGGCATTGGCGCTTAGGGCATCCCAGTTCTCAAAAAGTTCAGTTGATAGAACATTGTAATCCCTTAGTCAAGAGTGAGACGGTTAAGCATCGTGAGATTTATCAAATTTCTAAACATAAGAGGTTGACTTTCCCTTTAAGTGACAGTATTGCTAAGGATGTTGCTTTGATCCATGTTGACATATGGGGGCCTTTGGCAGTTGAATCTTATGATGGTTTTTCCTATTTCCTAACTATTGTGGATGTCCATTCTCCAGCTGTATGGATTTATCTCATGCAACACAAAATCAGAAGCCATATCACTTTTACAAAATTTCTGTTCAATGGTTGAAAAACCGTTTTCCAAATCTGTTAAAGTGATAAGAAGTGATCAGGGCAGGGAGTTTCATATGCATGAATTCTACACCAAACATGAAATTGAGCATGAGATGTCTTGTGTGGCTACACCAGAACAGAATGGTAGAGTAGAGAGGAAACACCAGCATATATTGAATGTGGCCATGGCTCTCAGGTTTCAATCTGGAGTACCCTTGGAGTTTAGGAGTGACTGTGTTTTACATGCAGTGCACTTAATAAATAGATTACCTACTGCAGTATTGAAGAATAGAAGTCCCTATGAGATACTGTACCATACTCCACCTTTTCTAGGAAATCTAAAAATCTTTGGATGTTTGGCATATGCTTCCACATTGAGCAGTGGTAGAACAAAATTTCAGAGTAGAGCTAGGCATGCTATCTTTCTTGGCTATCCTCATGGAATCAAAGGCTTTAAGCTGTTTGATTTAAATACTCATGAAGTATTCATTTCTAGAGATGTCACTTTCCATGATGACATTCTCCCTTTCCATGGTCAAGTTGATAAACCTGCAGATAAAGAAGATATTTCTTTCCCTGATATACCAGTTATCCATTTTACACCTGTTTCTGATCCCCAGGCTCATGGGGGCCAGTCTCCTCCTTCTACACCTTCTCCCATCATCAGAGATGATGCAAGGACCCTTTTTAGTTCAGAACATCAGAAATCCCCCGCTACTGGTCATATTTCTTGATCTCCTGAACTACCCTCTACATCATAAGCTCCACATGATTCTGAAGAAGAATTCAATGATGTTTTTTAGCCTGATTATCAGGAACCTGAAGATGAGTTACCACCAGGTGATGATCTTGATGATAATGAGTTGCCTCCTAGGAACAGGAAGCCACCTGTATGGCACAAAGATTATGTTACTGCAATAAATCAAGTTAGTCAGTACTATATGGCCAACTACATTTCTACCATAATTTTACTCCTCAACAGAAATAGTATGCAATGAGTCTTACAACACTTATGGATCCACAAACTTATCAAGAGGCTGTCAAAGAACATCACTGGGTCAGAGCAATGGAAGAAGAGTCAGATGCATTGATTGCAAACCATACATGGGATCTGGTTGAGTTACCACCTGGTAAAAGAGCCATAGGCTCTAAATGGGTGTACAAAACTAAGCGTAAACCTATGGCCAACTTGAGAGACACAAAGAAAGGATTGTTGCCAAAGGGTTTACACAAATTTATGCCATTGACCTTTTGGATACTGTCTCACCAGTTGCCAAGATTAACACTGTCAATAACTTATTGGCAGTTGCAGCAGCTAAGGATTGGATTTTGCATTAGATGGATGTCTCCAATGCATTCTTACATGGAGACCTTGATGAGGAGGTGTACATGGAACCTCCTCCTGGTCTTCCAGGAAGTGAAGGCAAGGTCTGCAAACTTAGAAAGTCCCTATATGGTTTGAAGCAAGCTAGCAGACAATGATTTGCTAAGCTAACTAACTCTCTCCTGAATAATGGTTTCTCACAATCGATGTCAGATTACTCCATGTTTACAAAGAAGGTACAAGGAAGAAGTGTTGTTTTGCTTGTTTATGTCGATGACATAATCCTTGTTAGGGAGAGACTTGATGACTTGGAATTGGTGAAGCTGTACTTGAAGAAGGCTTTTAAAATCAAGGATTTAGGAACTTTAAAATATTTTCTGGGGCTTGAGATAGTGAGAAATGATGAAGGTATTGTTGTGAATCAAAGAAAGTATTGCTCAGACCTATTGCAAGATACAGGATATGCAGATGCCAAAGAAACTCAGACTCCAATTGACATGAAGGTTAAGTTGAATTCTAGGGAAGGAACACCATTGGAGAATCCAAGTTGCTACAAGAGGTTGATTGGCAGGTTGCATTACTTAACTATCTCAAGACCATACATATATTTTACTGTGCAACAGCTCGGTCAGTTTCAAGGAATCCTCTTGACACTCATATGCAGGCTGCTTATAGAGTGTTAAGGTATTTAATGAAATCACCAGGTCAAGGGATATTGTTCAGAAGGCAATGTGATTTTTCAATCACGGGTTACAGTGACTCAGACTGGGCAGCATGCCCTGACACCAGGAGATCCATAACTAGTTTTTGCACTTACATTGGTGATTCCCTTCTAACCTGGAAAATCAAGAAACAGACAACTGTCTCTAGATCTTCATCAGAGGCAGAGTATCGTGCTTTAGCACATTTGGTTTGTGAAGTGTAGTGGCTGAAAGAACTCTTATCAGAGTTGGGAGTACAAGTTGCAACACCAATCAGTGTCTTTTGTGATAACAGGTCAGCAATCCATATAGCTGAGAATCATGTTTTTTCATGAAAGAACTAAGCATATTGAAATAGATATGCATGTTACATGGGAAAGGATCAAGAGTGGGTTGAACAAGTTGTTCTATCTGCATACTTCAGATCAGTTAGCAGATGTTTTCACTAAAGGTGTTAGCAGATTTCGATTAATGGAATTGCTTGGCAAGATGGGAGTAATCAATGTTTACTCGCCATCTTGTGGGGGCCTGTTGGAAGAGAAGGAACATGTCAGTTCTGTAGCAGTAGCTGTTATGCACAACAATCCGAATCCAACCATGATTGACTGGAGTCAACAACACAGGGACGATGGACTAAAATGGAAGCGAACACAAGTTTGAAACTAGGCCAACACTTCACCATGCGGCGTCGTTTTACCATTTTTATTCTTTAATCTGTTTTATACAGATTTGTTATGTACTAACGAATCCCATGAAGCCACGTGTCTTGAGCGGGTTAATGGGATTCAAATTCTGTTTAATCACGATTGATTAGCCGTTTGGTTATGCTATATAAATAAAAAATCCTAAAGAGATGAGGTAGCAATTCTGCTGCTCTCATTCACCCAAATCCAGTCTCTTTTCCTTTTTTTATACAATCAGCTCGTACTTAAAACTCGGACCGGTCTTGTCAACACATTAACGATTAACGAATCCATATGTTAACTGTTGACCATGCCTCCGTAGGTAAGGATCTGATGGCCCATACATGAAAGCTTAAAGCCCATCTTATTCAGCGATTCCTTTGCCCAGCAAGTAGGCAGGCCCAGCCGTTTTAAAAAAGAGACAAAACAGAGTAGAAACGATCAACGGATAACTGAATTGGACAGCGATACTAAAAATGAAAAACAGAATCAAACCCTTCAATGCAGCCTTGGCCACGGGAACGGCTACGGTGCTAATTGTACAATAGTCAGCACCGTCCTAACCAAGGGAAAACTACTACTAGTTGGAATTAGTAGTGATTTAGCTTAGATGTTGTATTGATTTTATAATAATCCGTAGTGATTTCGTTATTTTTAGTAGCGTTTTTTGCCAGTTATCACGGTGCTAACCCCTATAAAGGTTAGCACCTAATCCCATCCCTTGGCCACACATCAACAATAAACACAAGAATAAAGAGAGAAGTTCCTGCCACGACTCAAACGTGCCCATATATAACTTGGAAATTTTTTTCAAACTGAGACTTCCAGAGATCTTTTAATATACTGACCAGGCGCCATCAATGGCACCAACTAAGCCATATGAAGGGACGATTCCGAGCTTCAATCTGGCCACAGATTGCGGACCAGTCCATATGCTGCCAGCACTATTGTCAGAGACTCGATACGAATCTTACAGCAAAAACTCAAATATTGAAATGTATACTTTTTCACAGCCTATCTCTCTGATGAATCAATGTAATGTGAAAACAATCCACCATGCAGAAAACACAATTCCCGGCTTAACTTCCCTCTCTAGAAGCAAGTTACTATACACATCAACACCACCAAAACAAGGAAAAAACAGAACAAATCCCATATATGCTCATCAGCATGCAGAAGTGATACAACAATGTAAACCTTCTCAGCCTCTGATCATCTCCCCTCGGACTTGACCAGCTGGGAGAACACCTTGCTCATCGAAGAATTCGAGATGTCGTCGATGTGCGACACTCCAAATGGCGCCACAGACACCGAGCTATCAACTTGGTTGAAGTTGTTGACCTGTGGAGAGAGATCGCCGATCATGTTCGTGCTGTTATCTTCCGGCTCTCCTGGAACAACTGCCTCCTGCAGCTGAAGAGCATACTCCAAGTTCCACAGCACATCTCCCATGGAGGGCCTGTCTACACCATACTCAGCCAAGCATTTCTCGGCCGTCTCCCCAAACTTCCTCAGCGAATCCGGTCTAATTTTCCCCGCGAGAGACGAATCGATGATCTGCTCCAGCTGACCCTTCTTCTGCCACTTCATAGCCCATTCTGCCAAGTTCACCATTTCTCTAGGCAGAGTTGGATCTATCACGGGCCTTGCACATAGAACTTCGAATAGCACCACACCAAATGAATACACATCTGATTTATCCGTCAGCTGCTGCCTTCTGAAGTACTCCGGATCGAGGTACCCAAAACTACCTTTGACTGCAGTGCTAACATGGGTCTGGTCAATTTCGGGACCAGTCTTTGAGAGACCGAAATCAGCCACCTTCGCCATGAGATTCTCATCGAGCAATATGTTGGCAGACTTCACATCGCGATGAATAACTGCCTTGGCATAGCCAGTGTGGAGATAATGAAGACCTCTAGCTGCTCCAATGCAGGCCTCCAGCCTTTCCTTCCACCCCAAGCTAGGGTACTCCGACCCATAGAGATGACTCTTGAGCGTACCGTTCTGCATGTACTCGTAGATCAAAATCATTTCGTTCTTCTCATCACAGTAACCTATGAGGGAAACGAGATGCCGGTGTCGGAACTGAGAAAGCATCTCGATCTCAGTCTGGAACTCTGCGAGCCCCTGTTGGGATCGAGGGTTACCCCTTTTACAAGCTACTTCAGTACCATCATTCAAGACTCCCTTGTATACCTTCCCAAACCCACCAATGCCGATAACCCGACTCTCATCAAAGTTGTTTGTGGCATCTGCAACCTGCACGAATGGAATCCGGTACTGGAGGTTGTTGCTAGCAGCAGTTCCGTTTGAGAATTTGCTGCCAGTGGTATGAGAATGGCCACTGATCGATATTGGCATCCATGTCTTGGAATGCCCCATGGCCTCCTGCTGTCTTCTTCTTCTGAAAGTCAGAAGAAGACATACAACGAAAAACACAGCAATTACAGATCCAACGATCGCTCCTATTATCGCCCATACTTTGCTCTTGGAACCATGTTTTGTTGGAGACAGAGCAGCAGAACCACTAAGACTCCCCATGGAGTTGTTCATCTTCATAATCTCGAGCCCATTCAGAAGCGCATCAGGATATGAACCCTGATTACTCGGTCCAATACTCACGCGAAGCATGTTATCAGAGATCAACGGGGTGACCACATCTCGATAGTAAGCAGCACCAAGCACATTCGACGAAGTCGAACTGATATCAAAGTCCTTAATAGCCAGCAATGAGTTCACATAAACATCAAACACAAGCTGATTCAGAGAACCATTCTGCCTTATGTCACAGAAGTGGAACCTCATGAGATACTGAAACCCAAGATCCACATTGAACTGCCACGTTACATTGAAGTTGGTATTAGAAGTACCTGCTGAAGCCATCTCGGAGGCAGTACCATACACACTCCTCGGAGCGACCTCCTCGGTCGAGCCATCACTGACATACGTGACAGCCCGAACATTGTTTATCGTCTGCCGAGAACTCTCACCGAGCAAGAACTCGTCGTCTGGAACCCAAGTACGCCACAATGTGTCATTGGCATAGTTGAGCAACTGCCCGCCCATGTTCACTCTGTAGGTTGTTTCCATAGCTTGCTCCACCACGCCTGGGAAGTCTGCCTTCGGGTTGTACGAGATTGCCCCTTCTTCGATCAGGTTATCCGGTACAGACATCACTTCCAAGGCGTTGACATAGGCGAATGAGTTGGCGGATGGGGCAAATGTGATGGCGAGGCTGCTTGATGTCACATTGATGGAGAACTCCTTGACCTTGATACCATCGACCGTGAACTTGCTGAGGAGGCCGTGGTTTGGCGTGGAGACGTCGAAGCTGGCTTGGCTCATGTTGTAAGTGGAGAAGACGAAAGGGTAGAAGTGAAGGCGGATGAAATGGCGGCCCTGTCGATTGATTGAGAATGTGTAGGTGGAAGGCTTGTCGAAGATTCTTGCGGTTTGGTAGAGAGGTGAGGAATCGTCGGGAGTGGGTTTTGTGGAGGTACTGGCGGTGACATGGTTAGGGGTGGAGAGCAGCTTTGAATCGGATTTATCGGCGGAAAATACGCGGCTGCCGACCTTGGTGTCTGAGTCGGATCCACAGTTTATAAGGTGGTTGTCAGCAGGGACAAAATCTTGGGAGGAACATAGAAGGGCTAGGGTTAAGGCGGAGAAAATCCAGATCAAAACGCTACTACCCATTTTTTGGCAGAGTACTGAGATCTGGGGTTTAAGTAACAGACCACTGCTAGAATGGGTTTCTAAATGACACAGGAGGCAGGGTGAAGAAAGTATCAAAATCAGAAGAAGGGCGATTGAGTAAGGAAGTGAGACATGATTCTCTAACTATTCCAAGAACAGGGCAAAAGAGGATTCAATATCAACCAGAGATGCATAAAAGGTCAAGCAGAACAGGGGAAGGGGGAAACTATCAAGAACCCATGAAGAACCCAGGAAGATTAGAAGAAAGAGAAGGGGGAAAGATGGCACCTTTAGAGATCAAAACGAGCTTCCAACCAGAACCCAGATGAGACGGAATCACCAGAGACCAGAAATGGCGAAACCAGGGGGGAGGGGGGGGGGGGGGGGGGGGGGGGGGGGGGGCAGCTGTGGTTTGGAGAATGATGGCCAAAAAGGGGGGGTTTCTCTTTCTTTTTTGGTTTGGCCCCTTCCTCTTCGCCTCTATGCACAAAAAAATCTGGCAAATTGACAACCAAAAAATGCTGCAAAGCGGCAGCAAGCGAGCTGGCGCCGGAGTGGAGGACAACACAGGGTATTGATAGAAGATGCCCAAGATTAGTTTTCCATTTCAATAAAGAAACAGCAAGTGGAGAACAAATAGAAGTTTGGACATATGGGGTATAGAGAGAGAGAGAGAGAGAGAGAGTCAAACAAGAAACGCAGAGGAGGAAGATATCAGTTATGGCTTTTCCCTTGGCCGGCCGAGACGAGAAGAAAGACTTGAATATATTTCGCTGGCACACTGCCAGAGATACAACAGAGAGATAATTAACGGCTCCCTACCTCTTCCCCTTTCTTATTAATTAGGTAGAAGACAGAGACGGAGTGGGGAATTTCGTCTCAAAGGAGGACTCTCGAGAATCAGAGAGAGTAGTTGGTGTGGCTTTAATTTAATGGAGGTCGTGGTAGGAGCAAGGTGGTAAAAAATCTGGAGGAAGCAAAGTAAATGACTGACATTTTCCTTTTTACTCTCCGGAGAAGAAGATTGCTGTTTCGTTTTGGTAGAAGAAGAAGAAGAAGAAGAAGAAGAAGGTAGGAGAGGTGGTGACTGGGGAAGGAATTAACGCCGGTAAACGCCAAAAACCGGCCAGGACAAGAAGATGGTGGTGATAACGTCGATGCACATTGGTCAATTAAATAAATAAAAGTCGCTGACGAAGTAATCAATTTGCTGCCACAATTATTAAATTCGCTTCCCCCATCTTTTTTTTATAATTATTGATTGATCTCAGATTTTGGGTACATGATTAACAACTACCTAAACTACCCGGTCTTTCTTTCTTTCCTAAATTCCGCGGGCAGCGGATCCGGTGATGATAAAAGGCTTTATCCTGGGGGCCCAACTCAGGATTTTCTTTTGGGCTTCTCCGAAAATCTTTACATTTTTTTCCGCGGTTTGATCACTGATTTTCAGAATATATAATTTTCATGTTGCAATATTAAAAAAAGAAACTAAAAAAGTGTAAGAAACTGTGAAAGCTATTTTATTCGGATATCGTGTATTATGATTTATGATGATGGGCGTGTGGAGGATTAAGGCGACAGTTACTGTACTGTGGTTACTAAGGATAAATTGGGTATGAAAAATAAATTGTATTAATTAATTTTTTTAATAAATTACATTTTAGGTGGTTACAAGAATCTATTAGTTACAATTCTCTCTCTTTCTCTCACTTCCATAATCTCCAGCCAGGTCCCCTTTCCTTATTTTTTCAATCTTTCCGCAAAAAAAAAAAAAAGGAAATCACTACCAATCCATTAGACAACCAGTACCACTTTGAAAAATATCAATACCATTGCAATAATAAATCTATACCGTTACACGAAAACTACCAATATAAACTGTTGGGGGACTTACTAAGATACTCTGCGCACAGACTAAGTAGTAGGGCGCACAATCGGCGATGCCCAACGCTCGATACCCGCTACAGGTATATAAGGGCTTGAAGCCCTCCAAAGGAGGGGACTTCTCCTCTCTCCTCACTTTGGACTTTCCACCATCTCTCTACTTTATTCTCTCAACTCTCTCCTGAAACTTAAACTAACTTGATCGTCGGAGCTTAATCCGGGGGGCATCCCCGACTTTCCACAGGTTCTCCCCCTCCCGACGAGATCAGAAGAACGGATGGCGAGTCGACCCACACCAACAAATATCATTGTTCATACCTCGAGCTAGATGGTACAAACAATTGGCGGCCACCGTGGAGCTTGACTTCACATTGGTTTTTTCGATTTCCGAAGGAGGGAGGGATCTCGGTAATCGGAAGTTCACAACAGCCTCGTCGGAAGGACGGGAAGAGAACACAACGACTTGCAGAAGAAAGTCACATCTCCCTTCACCAACCTAGGCGGCGGCAACAACCACCGAGAAGCGAAGAAGCAACCCCGTTCGGAGAAATCAGAAAAAAAAAAAAAAAAGGAAGGCTCGTGAAAGGGTTTGGAGGAGCACCAAAGATTGTATCAAAATCTCATTCATCTTTTCCATGGCTACTACAGAGTACAGGAGGAGAGTAACACAGATTACCCAAAAAGGGGGGGGGGGGGGATTCCATAGCCACCAACGCAACGGGAAGAAGAATTGATTATTCTCCACTGCCACAACCAGTTACAATAAGTTTGGTCAAAAGATGCCTACCAAAGCTACAATAATCGCCGAAGAACAGGAGAAGCAATTCAGATATCCGGCGCTGATCTTTCAATGATGCAAGCACATCACACAATCCTCACTTGAAGGAACCAAAGAAAGAGTCTAGCAGCAGCAGCCAAAGAACAAGAAAAAAATGGATCCCGATTGCCGGATTCAAATTTGGAGTGGGAGCTCCGATGAGGAAAAGAGACCTCGCAATCCCCATGGCGAATCGTCACATCATCCTGAATTTTCCCCCAAAAAATGGGTTACGGGTCATCGCCACTTTCTCCCTGTGTTAGAAGAAAGAAGATAGACGCAAATATCGAGGCAAAATCCATAACAAGTGGGTGCCAGGCTGTAAAGTACCCTCATATTCCGGCGTTCCTATTCATCCCGCGTCATCAGCCAAACATCGGTGCCAATGGGTGGTTCTATAAACATGAAGAAAAGGGATGAATCAGGCGTGCGTGGTGGTCGTATAATGAAGTTGCGCGGCGCCAGCACTGTCGAAGAGAAAGAAAGAAAACTACCTGCAGCAAGACCGCGTCCCCCCGCTCTTACCTAGAACCGCGCGACAAGGCTTCATGGTGTCCGAACTCAAGCAACTGGCGAAAGAAACCTCAAACCAGGGCTGGTACATCCACCCACAAAAAACCAAAAACGCTCGCTTATTGAAGGTGCAGCAGTGTGAGGAAAGAGGGCGGACGCCGGGACTCTAATTTCCATTATGTCAAAGCCTGCTCTTCCTTTGGGGTCGCAATCCACTCGCGGCACACGTCCTCCATTCGGATTCAAGCCTACATAAGGCCCAAGCCCATTTCAGACTAGCCGGATCTTGCCCAACCCACTCCCTTGCTGATTGGGTCCATCCAATCACTCGTGTTTTCTCTTCCCACGCGCCACAGTCCCACCGCTCATAAAGTCAACAAAAAATTGACTCTGCGAGCATTTGAACACGCGAATGAGCTTCTACCATCTAGCACGCAAGCCACGCAAGCCAATATGCAATGAGCACAACGTGTCCAATAAAGCGCGACATCCTATTTATAGAGAAAGCACCCCGCTCCATACTAGCAAGCACGACTTCTTTCAGCCCGCTCCCGCATCACTGGTGGGCTCCGCCCCACTCTAGCCCGCGCCTCGTCTTCAAAGTACACGCAGATACGACTCGCGTCCTTATGCTCAGCTTGGCGGCCCGCACCATCAACTGCCTACTCCCGCATCAAAGCCTACTCCGACTCGCGGGCCTGACTCGCACTCGCCAGCCCAAATCTTCCATTTGATCCGCCTAACAATCCCGCGACATTACAAAGCAGCCCAGGTCGTTCGTCCGCGCCAATCCGGCCCGCCAGCTGCCCTACCCACCAGTACTACTGCACTTGAGCCCGCTTCGGCGCTCCAGTCCAACCAAGCCCACAGGCACTGAGCTCAGTAAAAAAGGGCTCAAACTCGCGCCAATCTTGTGAAAGACAAGAAAGGCAACCAGTAGGATACAAACCTTAATTGTGATCCATAGGTGCAGCGCGCTATTTTAAAGATTCGCTTCTCCGACTCGCGGCGCACTCACGGAAGATGAACCCACCACTCGCGGGCCCGCTTCATACTCATCCCCGTGACTCCACCGCCCAAGCTTGCGGCCCGCCGCGTCAACACTCGCAGCCCGCACTGCAGGCGGCCCAACTCGCGGCCCGCGTTCAACAGTCACGGAACTCTTCAAAAATATTATCGCCGCCACCAGGAATTGAACCCGCGTCACCCCTCCGCCAGACAAGCAACATTACTAGTAGGCTACATACGCGCCTTATGACCCTTAGGAGCAGCACTCTTATTTTAACAACTCTTCGCGTCGCTTTGCCAACATAAAGCTAAGTACTCCATCCCTCTATCATTATTAAATTTTTAAATATTTTACTTTCCTGAGCATTAATGACGCTAATGGGGGGCAAGACGTACCCAACAACGTGGGAGATGAGAAACTCACCAAGCTCTCGACGCCTTGAAGACTCCAAAATGAGGGTTAAAAACCCCGACGAGGAGAGGGCACATTGCCTTGAAGACTCCAAACTGAGGGTTAAAAACCCCGACGAGGAGAGGGCACATTGCCTCGGTGAATCTACAAATAAGTCTCAACGAAGCACACAAATAAGACTTCAATAAGAGCATCGAAGATCTACAAATAAGTCTCAACGAAGCACACAAGTAAGACTTCAATAAGAGCATCGAAGATCTACAAATATGTCTCAACGAAGCACACAAATAAGACTTCAATAAGAGCATCGAAGATCTACAAATAAGTCTCAACGAAGCACACAAGTAAGACTTTAATAAGAGCATCGAATAAGCTACAAATAAGTCTCAACGAAGCACACAAATAAGACTTCAATAAGAGCATCGAAGATCTACAAATAAGTCCCAACGAAGCACACAAATAAGACTTCAATAAGAGCATCGGTGAATCTACAATATGAGAGTGTTCAACTACCTCTATCTCCAATAAAGGGCAATAAACGTGCGCGGTAAGCCCGTAACGTAATCGTGCGTCACAAGCGCACCAATGAAAGAGTACACACTTGTGTGTGTGAAGAACTCCAATAGAAGAGCGCTAAACGGCTTAATGAAACGCACCAACTAGGGGCATGACGCAGGAAGCTGGCACCGCGTCAGCCTAACGCGCCACCAGCTGGGTGCAACTGGGGGTACATAGGGCTCCATCCAAAATTACCGACGAAGATTAAAAACAAAATAATAAATAAATAATAAGCTAGTGATGAGTTAAAACTCAACACCAGTTTGGGGGGAAATTGTTGGGGGTGTTACTAAGATACTCCGCGCACAGACTAAGTAGTAGGGCGCACAATCGGCGATGCCCAACGCTCGATACCCGCTACAGGTATATAAGGGCTTGAAGCCCTCCAAAGGAGGGAACTTCTCCTCTCTCCTCACTTTGGACTTTCCACCATCTCTCTACACCCTATCTCTCTACTTTATTCTCTAAACTCTCTCCTGAAACTTAAACTAACTTGATCGTCGGAGCTTAATCCGGGGGGCATCCCCGACTTTCCACAGGTTCTCTCCCTCCCAACAAGATCAGAAAAACGGATGGCGATTCGACCCACACCAACAAATATCATTGTTCATACCTCGAGCTAGATGGTACAAACATAAACAATATACAAATATAAATCTATACCATTTCACAAAAAATCAATACCATTGCAGATTTAGTCAATACCAATACATGCAAATCAATACCATTACATGATAATCAATACCAATGCAACAAAAACAATACCAATGCAACAAAATCAATACCAATGCGACAAAAACAATACCAATGCAAAAAAACACTACCACTACGAAAAAATCACTACCATTTCACGAAAATACATACCTTTACACATCCAGAGATCCAATTAATCACAGCAGCTAATCATAATCAAGATCTGAATTCGACCGAGGGTTTGTGATGAACAGTTCTTCATCGATCTTCTAGCTAGCTAGCTAGGGAGAGAGAGAGAGAGAGAGAGAGAGAGAGAGAGAGAGAGAGAGAGAGAGATGATGGAGGGGGTATGGTGGCAGAGGGGTGGGGGGGAGGGGGAAGGGTAGGCGAAGGGGAGTGGAGACAGAGAGGGTGGCGGCAGGGTGGGAGGGGGAAGGGTAGGCGGAGGGGAGAGGCGAGGGATGGGTGGCCATCGGCAGGTGAGAGGGGGAGGGAGATTTTTTTTTTTTTGTTGTTGACGGCTAGAAGGATTGTAGTAGGGTTTGTATATAATGTATAAAAATTTATTTTTTAAGAAAAAGTAATCAGGTGTGATATTTTTTTGTTTCCAAAGTTATCACATCGGCGGATCTAGGGCTGCGCCAACCCGGGCCACGGCCCAGCCCTCCGCCGGATCCAGAGCTAGTATAGAGCTTATAAATTTTTCGATTTAGGTATTCGGCCCAGTATTATTTAATGGTTGGTCGAGTGTTATTTGATAATAATTTTGTGTAGTTAGAAAAATGGTAGAAATGAACATATGAAAATCATTACTCTCAATTTAGTTTAGGAATTCTAGCCCGATTGATTTTCATTTGAAAAAAACAATAAAACCTAAAAGTCTAAAATGTAAAAGAATGTATAAAGTTTCATTGAAATAAGAAAACCCTCTAAACAAATTGATTTGTGGGTTGATTCGTCTAGTGTTGACCTTGCCCATTTCAGCGGCTACCATGGAGAGAACATTTTAAGCAATGAAATATGTGAAAACTAATTTTGAGTAAACACAATTTATTAGTTAAACCTTTTAGACTTTCCAAATTATTCGCCAAACCTTTCGAAATACATAATATTAGCTAAATATTTTGTAACACATCAAAATATTAGTCATTTGTCTGTTATCGTTGGTAATCTTGTAACTATTTTTTTATTTGAAATACTAAAATTTAAAAATATTGACTATTTTTGTTTACGGTAAATAATATTATATTGAAATGCGGCTCAATGTTCTACTGTGTTCTGGATCCGCCGCTGAGTTATCCTTCATCTAATCTTTATCGTCAAGATAAAAATAGGGTGAAATAAAGATAATGAATGGTATAGATTATGGTAGCCACCGTAGTTACTCAAAATTGAGTAACCACACTAACTCATTTCTGATTCAAGAGTTTTTTTTTTTAATTCCTTTTGATAAATAGATAAGATAAGTGGCTAATTTACTAGTGACGTATGTAGGTGTTGGTTAACCAAGTTATTGATAGATAAAAATTTTAGTACGATTCCTTTTCATTACTTGTCATTTTTAGTAAGATTATGGATCGCAATGTAATTTATCATTCCTCTAGTTACCTGTTAAACGAGGTGGTCTATTTATTGTAAGGGTTTAGCTCAGCCGAACCCTAAGCTACGAAATCAATCAATAAGAAAATCTGAGAGCTCATTCTCAGTCGACTAGTCTCCTTCATACTGAACGAGAAAAACACGTAATAACTCGAACTGTATTTGTCAATCAACTTAAAAATTTATATATAATTATCTTATTTGAAGGTTTTATGACATAAAATTGTTTTAAGGGCCAAATTTTGGTTTATTTTAAGATGTCATGGACTTAATTGTTTATAAAAATTAATGCTAATTTTTCTCATGCTATATATACCGATATGAGTTGTGACTCATATCCTAAGCACGTGGTAAGTAAAATTCGTGAAAGATACAATTGTAGTCTAGTTTAAAATTCTCGAGTTTCCGATCATATATTTTCACATCGTTTAGTGGAATTTATCAACAGAACAACAAATCATAATAAGACTTCAACAGTTTTGCAAATTTTTTCATGATAGATTTAGATGGTTTTGGTAATCTTTTCCAAAATAGATTCTTAGGTTCCAAACAACCGTAACATTAAGACTATCAATATGTTTGGTCGGGTTAGGAGTTAGGACATGGGACGATAGATGTCTTTGCCTGATTTTCTAGTGTCTACGCGCGCTGGGGCATAAATTCTTTGTCCTTTGGACGTGAACATTTTCCTAACGTGTCCCAGCAATAGGCATTAGTGTCCCATTATTTGTCTCGTTTCCATGGACTACTTGTTTGTTACTTTCTCTCATGTATCTGCGCATGTACATACTTCAGCTTCGTCCCACTCTCGTGCAAGAATGAAAGAATGAAAGGGTTCATATATAGAGACCTGACTTTGCCTAATGAAGAATAAGTTAAGACTTCGTCAGAACGAGGTTAGTTGCTAACCCCTAGAGGCTTAGCACCATACTAACTTGGGATGGGATTAGGTGCTAACCCTTATAGGGGTTAGCACCGTGATAACTAACAAAAAACGCTACTAAAAATAATGAAATCACTACGGATTATTATAAAATCAATACAACATCTAAGCTAAATCACTACTAATTCAAACTAGTAGTAGTTTTTCCCTTGGTTAGGACGGTGCTAACTATTGTACAATTAGCACCGTAGCCGTTCCCATACTAACTTCTATAACAATCAATTGATTCAAATAAAAATAATAACATATGATTGAAGTCAACATCCTATCTTCTCACGAATTTGTCCCAAAGAATTTTATTAAAAGCTTCTTCATTCATCAATCGAGCATTGAGCTACCAAATTAGAAAGCCAAGTTAGCTTATATATACCAAACGATCCTTTCTCCTACCCCCATAGATACCCGGCAAACCTTAAAAGCATTTAATACGAGCTTTCCAGCCCTGCCAATGGTCACCAAAAGGTAACATAGAAATGGCGGCTACCAAATATCAACCCAATATCTCCTGAGCACAAATTTGCGCCTTTACCACCTCCACCACCCCTTAGTGGTTACCAATTGCAGCTTTGCTGTATCCTTCCAATACAAGAAAAAGTGTTTTTAGCAACCAAAAAGTTGTCTCTAAAAATCCAAAACTGGTTATTAAAACTTCTTTGCAATCAAAAAATTTTGGTAGCAGAATTGATCGCTATAGCCGCGTTACTAGTTCCTAGCGCAACCAAAATACGAATTGGTAGCGAAAAACCCATGATTTCGCCAATTTCGCCAATGGTAAAAACTAGGGGTGGAAGTTTGGGTTGCGGGTTGTGGATAATCCGCAAACCGCACCAACCCACACCTATTGTGGGTAACCAGTTTAATTTTGTTGTCATAGTTCAAACTAATGGTTGAGAAATGTAGGTGATTGGTCGCCATAAATACAAATGATATGTGAGTATTAGCAATCTATTTTATTGGATGCAAATTTAAGTTTCAAAGATGACTATTTAATTTGGTTGGTAAATTAAAATATGACAACCACTATTTTTGATTATGAAAGTTTAACACAGCTATAAAATTTGGTCATGAACAATATATTTGCCGACCAACCACATAATTTTGAATGACTAATTAATTTGGTTATAAAAGTTAAGCACAACCATAAGAATTGGTCGTGAAAACCACATACCTCAACCAATTAAAGCATTTTGGTGACCAATAATTTTAGTCATGGAAGTTTAAAGCAACCATAAAAATTGACATAAAAATACATATATCGACCACCTTGAGTATGAAAATGATATTTAAACCATGAATTGTCTGATCTTTCGGACATAATACTTTACTCTAACCCTTAAAGATCAAAATCTAGGTCTTAGTTCTCTAAATCTTATACTCCAAGATCAATTTAATTAGAATCATAATCGACGATTATGATTCGTCCAAATAAAGGCAAAAAAAGAATGCACCATCTTAGGGTTTATAGTTTATGATTTAGATAATTAAGAACTAGGGTTCACTCATTAAGGGTTAGGGTATAGTATCAGGTCCAAAAATACTGCTAATTCTAGGTCTAGATAACATTTTCATACTCAAGGTATGCGGTACCCTGGATTTCACCCAGGGTACCATAGAAGGCACCATCGACCACCTATATCATGTTTGGCAACTAATCATTTTAGTTATGAAATTTTTATATAACCATAAAATTTGGTCGTAAAAATCTATATGCCGACCAATCATATTTTTTAGGTAACAAATTTTATTAGTTATAAAAGTTTAACTCAACTATAATAATTGGTCATAAAATATGTGAATGACGATCAACCATATCCTCTACAACTAATTCTTATGGTTATAAAAATTTAAATGCAACTATAAGAATTGGTTGCGAAAAAATACATAAGCCAAAAAAAAATTCATTTCAAATGACCAATTTGGTCGATAAGATTCTGGTCATTATATGAAAATATTAAAAATTAAATAGAATTGCAATAAAAAATTTGCTACATATAAAAAAATTGTTTAGTAACCAAAAGTACAATTGCACAATTTATTGTCTAGTCAACCAAAGTCTAATTCCTCCGAAGATAGCAACTTGATAATCCCAGGCCTTTTATTGGTTCAGAATTTGTCACTTTTTGACCACATTCAAACACAGGATCAACTTTTCTATATTATACATGGACAGTTAAGAGCAACGTTAATGATTGAATTGATTGATTTTTACCTGAAATTGAAGTAGGCAAAAGGCAATATTCCCTCCATATCTAACACGAAGCTCTCATCTCGAACCCAAACGGCTTCTCCGGAGACAAAGTCGCATTTATCTTTTCCCTAGCTTCCTGGAGAGTGTGTATTCCAAAGTTCTAGATTATCAAAATACGAACATTAACAAAGTTCATCAGTGTCTCGAATTGAAGCATATATATGTATATGAATATGACTTCTCTAACGTTAGCTATTTCTCCCTTTGTCATGATTACCTGTTTTTGCCTAGCACGGGAGAGAGCCCTGTCAAGCTTGTTAATCACACTAACACAACATGATCAGCCACAATACTGACAGCAAGGCTAAGCCACCCAAGTCTACTGTTTGATCTAACTCAAACAACCAAAATAATAAAACACAAGAATCATTAATGAAGCTAAAGATAAGGGAGGTTTGCATAATGTGGACAATCAGTCAGCTAAACTTGATTAAATATAGACAAAAAAATATATCAGCAAACAATTTGTTGGAAGAGAATCTATAGTAACCTCTATAAGGATCCCGTCTAAGAAAAGAACTGGGATCTAAAATGCCCATCCACAGAAATATCATTGACTGCTCGAGGGATGGTTCAGAACACTGAAAGTACAGTTACTATCGGCTAGATGAGCAACAAGAGAAACATAAAATGGAAGCCAGCAGTTCCAGAAACATAATAAGTAACAAAGGGATCTTAATTACAGCAACCCCTGTGCTTTTCTCTACCCCTACAGTTCCAGTTTACAGAATAGCTTTATACACAGAACATATGTTGTTTACCAGAAGCTTGAAGTCAGTTGGTGATAAATAGCATAGGATTGGCTAGCACCATGATTAATAGTATGTCTCAAGGAGACAAAGGTTATAATAATCATTAGTTCAATTCCAAACTCGTTTCACTTTCGAATTTGCTTCTAGATCCATTAATTAATTAATTAATTAATATATAAAATTCCTAGGTTGCAAGTTACTATTCATTAGGGGCTCTCACACTCCTCCAAGTGCAAGTAGGGAAGTTCCAAGTCCTTCTTTTACCCCACTCTCCATTCTACAACCTTTGTGTTTAGTTATTGTTCGCTAGGTTTTCGTCTATGCCATTTTGCACAAATCAGCGCCTTTGCGTTTTGTTATTGTTCGCTAGGTTTTTCGTCCTTTGTGTTTAGTTATGGTTCGCTAGGTTTTCGTCTATGGCTTTTTGCACAAATCATCGTCTTTGTGTTTAGTTATTGTTCGCTAGGTTTTCGTCTATGGCTTTTTGCACAAATCATCGCCTTTGTGTTTTGTTATTGTTCGTTAGGTTTTCGTCTATGGCTTTTTGCACAAATCTTTGCCTTTGTGTTTTGTTATTGTTCGCTAGGTTTTCGTTTGTGGCTTTTTGCAAAAAAAAAAAAAATCGCCTTTGTGTTTAATTATTGTTCACTAGGTTTTGCAAAAAAAATAGCCACAAGATATTTTCGGCTCAGCCTGGCTCCGGCCGCCGGAATTTTTCGGCCCGGCCAGGTTCCAGCTACTGGAATTTTTCGGCCCGGCCAGGTTCCGGCCGCCGGAATTTTTCGGCCCACCGTCTGTTCGTTGAAATTTTTTGGAAAAATTCGATTTTAGGAGTTGAATTTAGAGTTTAGGAGTTGAATTTAGCGTGTAAGAATTGAATTTAGAGTTTAGGAGTTGAATTTAGCGGTTAAGACTTGAAATTAGCGTTTAGGTTCACAGGAATATTGATGTATTATATTGTAATTGTAGGAAAAATGTCAGAGTTGTTACCGGCCGATCATGATTACACACAGGAATTTGAGAATGGGATCCATTATGCAAGTGTGAAGTTAGCTGAGTTAGCTGCAAGAACAATCGCTCAGGAGTGTGGGTTCTTTATTGTTAGAGGAGCATGGAAACCGAATACTGCTGGACTACATCCTGTTACTGCCCTCTGTATGTATTGCGACAGAAGTAGTAGGATCGTTAAGTCTTATAAACCAGACCCTACGAAGGAGACGCGTGGGAATATTAGTTCGAAGGGTACTGGTTGCCAGTTTCAGATATGTATAAAGGAAGTATGGCAAAAGGATGGTCCAAACACATGGGTCATAGTGGGAGTGACAAGTCGTGAAACCGGAGCTAATAGAGGGTTTCACAACCATGAAAAGGTGTTGTATCCAGAACATCACCGACACAACAAACAGTTTAGTGAGGCTGAAAAAGAGAGGTTAAGATTAATGAGGAAGGCGGGGGTGAGACCAAATCAGCAGAAGACGACACTCAATACTGAAGGGGGTGTGCATCATGATATCAAACAGATGTACAACATAAATTCCAAGACAAGATTGGATGAGATGGGTGAAATGGATGCGATACAGTTTGCGCTTCACGGAGCTGAACATCGTGGGTACCATATCCGTTTGCAAAAGGACTCTAATAATGTGCTCACTAATATGTTTTTTGCGCACCCGACGTCCATTCAGATGTTGCATGCATGGTCGTACGTCATCCTTATTGACTCGACCTACAAGACCAACAGGTACGGCTGGCCATGGGTTGAGATTATTGGGGTTACTCCAGTCAAGAAGAATTTCAACATTGCATGTGCAATTATTAAGCAGGAAACAAAGGAAACATATGAGTGGCTGCTGCGATGTTTTTGAGGAGGGTCGTTAGTTCTGAGGCAATCAAACTTATGTTAGATGGGGCGGCGGAGTTGAAGGACAGTTGTGCGTGTCATTTTCAGATGACACATGGGCTCAAGTGTGCTTGCCAGATTGTTCAAGCTAAGGAAGAAGGACGTCAATTCTATGCTCAAGAGTTGCATGTATTTTGACCGTTTGGTATATTTTTGTAGATTACTCATCCCAGGCCCCCCAGGGCAATATTCTTACCCTTACATCGATGAGCTTTTTCCAGAGTTTGTTCGACCTTTGCTGGTAGGCGATTTCAACCCTAGTCCAGACGGCCATTGTGGTTTTAGGGCACTTTCTCATTGTATTTATGGGGATGATAGTCACTATCTGCTCATGAGATCGACGATTGTCTAAGAAATCCAACAACATTTTTGGAAGTACGAGAACTTGTATAATGGTAGTCCACTAGCTCACATTGACCGCATCAATTGGCTAGAGGCGGGTTCCGCACCACCGGGGCGATGGATGGATTCTGAGGACTTGTTCGTGTTTGCCACCATCTACAACATCGCAGTCATGGTCTTCACATACCAGGTGTTTGATGTCAATAATGGAAACCGTCCACTACCCAACCGCTACGATGATGCCTATACTGTATTGCCTATTGATGCGGAACCAGGTACTTTGCCACCAACCATGTTCTTATCACTGCACTATGTGAACAACCACTACATTCGATTGTACTTCAACCAGGATCAGTTTCCTATACCCCCTCTGCATCCACTTTGGCATGGGCTAGCAAATCCTAATGTGGCGGAGTGGGGAGCTATTCTCGAGGTTGGACAAAATTTGTTTGCGAGGCTTGGTGGTCGGCAGCGAGCCAGGCAGAGAGACCCCCGAAGAGCTAGGGGAAGGGGTAGGAGCAATGCATAGTGTTGCAATACTCTATTTATATGTTGTTGTTTTTCTAGTTGTATTTTTAATGACCCTAGTGTCATTATGAACTTATGGATTTCATTATGGATTTCGAGCGAGTTCGGGGTCGATTGGACGAAGATCGGGCGCGAGGTGTTCAAAAAGAAAGCCACACGGCCACACGGCCAGGCTGGGTGAGCTACACACATAATGAAATCCGATCTAAACATGCAGTCTGAACATAAACACAAATATGGAAACATGCAGTCTGAACATAAACATCCGATCCAAACATACATAAGTAGTCAAACATCCGATCTAAACACAAATATGGAAACATGCAGTCTGAACATAAATATCCGATCCAAACATACATAAGTAGTCAAACATCCGATCTAAACACAAATATGGAAACATGCAGTCTGAACATAAACATCCGATCCAAACATACATAAGTAGTCAAACATCCGATCTAAACACAAATATGGAAACATCAAAACAACTAAAAATCCCCTGGAGGGGGGAGTCCCTGAGAAGCCCAGTACTCAGTCCACACATCCTGTACTCCGTGCAGTGCCCTGTAGGCTCGTCGAAAATGCTCAACAAACTCCTCCTCGGTCCCTGCTACTGCTCGAACCGCAGGTGCAAACGTGTACAAAAGGTCGCGACCACGCTGCAAAAAAAAAAAAAAAAAAAAACAAGAACAATTTTTAGTTTCATGCTAAGTATATTTATAATAGAGTAACGATTTAGTGGTCAAATCTTACCGCTGCGGAGTCAACTAGTCGATCTGCCTCTCCATCATCCCGTAGGACTCTACAATGAGAGTGCGCCACGAACCAGTCAAGATAGTCTCTCGTAGTCTCATATGGATACGTCGTCCACGGCTGAGAGTACATGTCTATATGAACCATGTGGGATAGCAGAGCATCCCATGCAGCATCAAAACTCTCAGGAATCCGAATGACATATCCACCAGGTGCCTCTGGTCGGTCTGCTCGCTGAGGACACGAAGGGGCAGGCGGTACCATCTGTCGGTATCCAAACTGTCGGAGGCAACGGGCTGGATCATAGAACTCGCCTATGTCAGCGAACCGGATGACTCCAGTGTACAAAGAGCGACGCACTGCCTGATGAGGCCTTTGATGGAAAGGTGTCCAAAACACGTCAGAAGGGGTCAAGCTGTCAAGAGCTCGACGGTAGAACGCCAACCTCCCACTGGAATCAGCCACAGAACCTGGTGTCGGCTTCCCAACCCATCGTGAAGCCCAAGCATCATCAGGTCCAACAGCGGCAGGCTCGAAGTGAGATGGCCTGAACCCGGAAAGTACTCGTAGATCCAGCACTGCAGAAGTGTGAGACAACTAGCCATCCCCTGGCACCAGCACGAGACGCCTGACCAAGGTATCTGTACAACCAAGCAAGTGTACCTGATGCCCAACTATACTGATCTAACTCCTCCAACTCGTCCAAAAATAGGTTCACCACCGACTGAACCCTGTCTCTACTCTTGTCCACAAACAAAGTGGACCCCAACAGCAACAACAAGTACGACTGCGCCTCTGTCGCATGTGTCCCGTGGCTCTGCAAGTATCTGGACGCCATCTCTGCAAGAAAACCACCCTTCTCGTACCACTTACCCCTATTATTATATCCAGGGACCTCCGAACGACCACTCAACTGCTCCGAGTTCATCCCAAGAAGCGCACACAAACCCGCCTCCGGATGGTCAAGCTGCGCAGAACTCCTACTCATCAGTCGTCCCTCAATAGGAATCTGCAGTAAGTACTGAACATCGTGGAGGAGGATCGTCATCTCTCCAAAAGGCAAGTGGAAGGTGTTCGTGTCTGGCTGCCACCTCTCCACAAAAGCTGAGATCAAAGCCTCGTCAATCGCTATCTTGCGGAACATAGAGTAGATCAGGTGCTGGAGACCTGACTGCGCCACCAGATCCTCCGCCTCAACATGACTAAACACGTAGCTACTCAGATAAGAAACCGCCGATGTACGGCTGTAGCAACTGATGACCCCTCGATCTCCAGCCCCCGTCCAAAGCGCATAGGCAACGTGGCCACGAAAGCTCCTAATGAGGCTAGGATCCGTAGGTCCACCAGGACACTCACCAACAAGCTCCCAAGGTGGAGGACCACTCGAACGTCCTCCCCTACTCCGTCCAGTCCCCGAGCTCTCTGTCTCCTGACGAGCAGGTGATACTAATCGCCCAGCTCGGTCCCTATACATAGCAGGACGTGATGTTGCCGTACAAGACGACCCTCGTCCATGTCCACGCGTAGGTGGAGGGACCTCGATATCCTCATCATTATCGTCCTCATCAAAATCAGCCGAGACCACTCTCGATGCAGCACCCTGGTTCCTCCCATGGGAACCAGACGCCTGTGATGCCGAACGAGCAACTACAGTAGGAGCCTCTAACTCATCCTCCCCTAAATTTGCCTGTGACTGAGGTTCAATATCTCGAGAGCGCTTATTCTCCTTATTCTTCCTTCGTGCTGATACATCAACAACCCTACCATTGAATCTATTCAACTCATTCCCACCCGCATCACCCGCATCATCCATATCTAATTATCTACAAATTTAAACAATATCATACTTAGATGCGCACTAATTAATTTTCTATTAATTAATGTACTATTAACATTAATTGTTAATTAATCACAAATTAATTAAATTTCTATTAACTAATGTACTATTAACATTAATTGTTAACTAATCAGAAATTAATTAATTTTCTATTAACTAATGTACTAAATATTAACATTAATTATTAAATCAATTCTTAATTAATTAAAATTCCATTAACTAATTTAAGTAATTAAACTTTCAAACGCCTATTACAAAAAAAAACATTTATACACCAACTTAAATAAATATTAACACTAATTGCTAATTAATTATCATATTAAATTAAATGAAATACAAAAACTGGCCGGGCCGAAAGAATTTTGCGGCCGGCCGAAAAAAATTTGCGGCCGGAGCGACGTCGGGCCGAAAAAATTTTGCGGCCGGTGCGCCGTCCGGCCGAAAAATTCTTTCGGCCCGGCGACGTTCCGGTCGCAAATTTTTTTCGACCGGCCGACGAACACGCCGCCGGCAAATTTCTGGCCAGCGTGTTCGGCGACCGGTCGAAAAAAATTTGCCGAAAAATTCTTTCGGCCCGGCGACGCTCCGGCCGCAAATTTTTTTCGGCCGGCCGACGAACACGGTGCCGGAAAATTTTTGGCCGGCGTGTTCGGCGACCGGCCGAAAAAAAATTTGCGGCCGAGGCGTCGCCGGGCCGAAAGAATTTTTCGGCCGGCCGTCGTACCGGCCGCAATTTTTTTTTCGGGCCGACGTCGCTCCGGCCACAATTTTTTTTCGGCCCACCATGTTTTTCGCCGGAAAATTGGAAAACTGACCGGAATAAGTCAACTTACTTGTTTTCTGACGATTGAGGGCGACGGGAGGTTAGCCGACGACGGAAGAACGGTGCCGGCAACGGAGGCACTGGGCTCGTCAACAGAAGTTTTTGTTGGAATGAGTCAAATGTTCCTGATATCCGAATTTATAGAATGAAAGGAAGGGAAGGGAGGGAAAATTCAAAATTTGAATTCAAAATTTTTTTTTTTTAGTTGGCGGCAAATAGCCGTTCACCTTAAAATACTGTCGGCAGGATACTAAGTTGTTCTCCACTACCGTTTCCCAAGGCCGTTACCACGAGTTTTGTATCGAGACCGAGTTTCATACTCTTTAGTATTTTTTTCTTTCCTTTTTCCCCCTTTTTGTTGAGTAACTCAAACACCATTTTGCCAACTTGAACATAAATCATCGCATTTGCCACCATTTTGCAGCCCATCTCAAAATACTGTCGGCGGAATCCTAATTTGTTCCCTACCACCGTTTTCCAAGGCCGCTACCACGAGTTTTGTATATGGATCGAGTTTCGTACTCTTTAGTGTTTTCTCTTTCTTCTTTTCCTTTTTTTGAGCATGATCACAATTGAACCCAAACACATGGGTATCCTAACTTGAACACAAATCATCGCCTTTGCCCACCATTTTGAAGCCCATCTCGAAGTATTGTCGGCGGGATCTTAAGTTGTTCCCCACCATCGTTTCCCAAGGCCGCTACCACGAGTTTTGTATCGGGACCGAGTTTCATCCTCTTTAGTGTTTTTTTTCTTTCTTTTTTTCCATTTTGTTGAGCATGATCACAATTGAACCCAATGCCAATACCGAAAATCCATACTATATCTACTCAGTGTTGGTGAGTTTTGTATCGGGACTGAGTTTCATGCGCTTTAGTGTTTTTTTTCTTTCACTTTTTTCCTTTTTGTTGAGCATGATCACAATTGAACCCAAATCCATGGGTATCCGACCTAATTCGATCCAGTCAAAGAGACTTGAAACAGACTTTAGCATTTATAAATTTCTTCTTTTTTTTCCTTCTTTTGGTTGGGAAGACAATTGAACCCTAATCTAAGGTTTTGACGAGTGTTGTATTGTGAGCGAGTTTTA